GAGCATTCGCCGAGGTACAGGATAGTTCTAGAAAATAGGTGGCGCCACACCAGTCACGTGACCTCGATGACGCAACAATATCAACCATTAGGACATTCACTCTCATGACGGTTAACTTTATGTTTTCTAACTTTTGTCTGACCAAACTTCTCTTTCACGTGACTTTACTTTTATTCTCTTTCCACTTGTCTTGTCGCAGCTATTTATATGTCTATCACTTAGACCTTCTAGAAATCCCCATAGCCTCAATATCAATGAATTACAAACAAAACATTAATGAATTAATAACACTACCTGCACTGAACAATCTTTGATATCTGACACTATCAGAAATATAATTTCAATGTTGGAAAATGTTAACTTTGTTATTTCTATATTAATGTTTTTGTACATGTTTTTACAATAAAACAGGTTATAGTATACTCACAATTGAACACTTTAGTTTTGTTTAACCTGACCATATGGTCTATGTATTATTAATAAAATTTATCTTTATAACTTTTAATAGTTAACATATATTAAGTGATAATTCAGTAGAAATTGAGAATAATGTTGTTCATATAGTAAAATGATATGGATTGCTTAATTTCTTACCGAATGAAGCCTTCAAAAGACTTGCTATGAAATTCAGGAAAATAATTGGATTGTAATTTATCAGTTTATTTATATATTGACATTCAATGCTGAAATGACATTGAAAACAAACTTGTATGTAAGAGAATACCATTGTCACAAAAAGTATGTACAAAACCAGAATAACAATTATTGAACCAATACTTATATCATCAGAATGAAATTTTTTGTAAAGATGTTTTCTTATAGCTTATATTTTCCAAAAGAATGATAATCATAACACATAGTTTGAATTTCAAAAATAGATTTCAAGGTAAAATATTAAACTTTAATTGAAGTTGTGACATGATATGAATATATCTAAACAATTTTTGTGTTGTAAATTCTCAGACCAGTTCAATTTGTAATGTTGGGGATACTGCTGCAGTAGTTCTAGCTGAGAAAAGTGACATTTCAGCCATGGATGTTATGCCTTTCAATAGCAAAGAAGATATTGTGTTTTCAGTAATGTATACCCAGTTAGGAAGTCCATACATGACAGAGAGCAGAGTGTCCAACATCAATCATCATACAAAACTTGGCCTTCATACAGCTATGCTTTGGAAAAAAAATAATCTGATAGACATTATTGTTCAAGTAGGAACACACAGTTTTCGAGCTCATAAGGCTGTTTTATCATGCTTCTCTCCTGTCTTCAAGCAACATATCTTTGAAAAAGGAATTAACAAAATATGCAAGGTATTCATAATTTTTCCTTGTATGTGCTAACTTTGCATGTGGTTTGTTAAGTGTGTTATTTATCAATTGAAGAAAAATTATTATTTTATTCCAATTTCCAACTTTGAAAAGAGATGTATTGTCATGTGTGGAAACAAACGGTTTTGATTGTACATTCTTAAACTCAAAAGCCACAATTCTGACAATGAAAATATTGAGCAATTCTGTTTTATAAATGCTTTACTAAACTTCATTAGTGTCAGAAAAATAACAAAATACACTTTTGGGTATCTGAATTTGTATTAATGGGTTTAGGTTATGCATTGTACGTTTTAAATGTTTAAATGTCATAGGTTCTACATCATCCTTGTCATTAATTACAGTATTTGTTTCCATTTCAGTGGATGAAAAGCCTAAAGTACAGTAAATATTTCAAATACAACAATGAGAGTTTGAATTTATGTAAAACATATTACAGGTGGAATGATTTAAAATTGAAAGTCACTTTAAGTATGTAAATAAGAAATTGGTACAATACTGCAAATGCAGGTGTACATGTACCTAGTATTTCCTAAAATAATGTTATAAAACAATAGAATATTGATTGATAATCTAAAGATAGGCAGTTTCTCCTATTACAAGATTTTTGCTGTTCATTTAATTACTATGTGTATAGCAATACACATGCATCAACATAATGCATCACCTCATACACTTGTAGCTTAAAACAGACTTCCTCCATCTTATGTGCAAATTACTTTGATAGCCTCGTGGTTACTTTCTGAAGTTACATCTTGATAATTTCAGTCCTATAATGTGCTGCCATCAGTAAGGCATCATAAAATAAATAATCAGTGATAGAACTCACCCAAATTAAGATTTTTCACTAAAATTCTAGTCATATTTGTTCTGCTATTACATTATATATCAATATACACTCAGATTAAACACAACTCCCTTACTCTACTAGCACCAGCTGTCCTAAACTGTGAAGTAAACAAACGATTATCAGACAACATAGTGCGAACATTGTACCATTAAATACCATCTGCTGGCTCAAAAAACCACTTCCTTTCAGTCATTGATCTTTCAATCACATGACTATTCTAGCTGCTGGCAATCAGTTAATTCCAAACATACTGACTGTTGGAGCAGTTTCTCGCCTCTAATTTGGCACTTTTTCATCTGGCTCATCAGGAACTGCCAGATGAGTACTGTCAACTCTTTTCTCCTTATTCTAATTCTTGATCAAGTCAAGCACTGAAATGTAAAGACTAAGCTCAGGCATTGCACTGCCTGTCCCTTACTGTATTCATTCCAGAGAGTGGCTTGTCTGATTTGGTTAAGAAAGGGGTCAAGATATTTCTTGGCTGTACCTTTAACACCATGGGAGAAATTTGCATAGACTTGCTCATGGGTTTTGTGGGATGGTACAAACATTTCATCCAAGGACTCTTGGCCATTGCTTGTCTGAAACATCCTAAATGTTGGTAGTACAGTGTTGTAGGTATACTTGTGGATTCCAACCCTCTGAGGAGTAGTCTACCTCTGTTCTATGGCAAAGAGCAACAAGTTTCTGTCAGCAGCTTGTCTGTTGGCTTTTTTGTGAAATCTATGATCCATGGTTTCTCTGGTAGGATACCTTCCAGCTCGAATAGGCTCACGACTGCCCCACAGTTCATTGTGTTCACTATTTGGTGCCTGCTTTATCACCTGCTATTAAAACAGCTCATGTTTCCAAGCCTCATCTACCTTTTTTTTTTCTTCATGAGAAAAATTTATATTGTTATTTTTAAAAATTACACTATTGTTTTACAAAGGAATGTGGTGGACTAGCTACTAGGGACAACAAAATTTCATGTACCATTACTGCCTGGTTATAAATGTGGTGCAGTTTAACACTATTACAGTACTATAGTTTAACTATTCTGATTCAAAGTTAGTACAATATTTAGAAAACTTAGGATTTCTGAACCCAAATGTCTGCATTTGTTGTAAGTAAAAATTTACTAGATTGCTCTTACACTTTGGTGTTTCATAGACAATAATTTACTTTCCTTGATAAAACTGTTTACGAAGTTTTGGTAGGTGCAAAGAAATGTTTACAATTTGGTTCAGAAACAATAACAAAAGGTTTTATAATTCTATAAAGACCTCCATCTCTATGCTAACTTTTGTGAAATCATTAGTCAGTCATGTTTCTCATTTTGATTAGTATGGTCATAACAAGAATCTATTGATACAATCAGTTCTTAAAGCATAATTTGAGACGTGTTGGAATATATCAGTTAGATTTTAGAAGATGTTTGTATTTACTGTATGAAAATCACAGCATTTAACCATTAAGTACTTGGGTGGAGTTCATATGGGTCTCAGTCAAATAATATTAATACCCAATTTATCGAAATGGAATGAAGAATTAAATGTTACTTTGAAAGTTTTATAATGGATTTTTTCCCTCTATTTGCAATGGCTTGAGCTAATGTGGATAATGAATTCCTCCTATTATGTTCAATACTCAGGTACATCTGTTTTGGATCATTTGGACAGAGTGCAATTACAAACAAATAAAAATAGCCTTGAATTGAAAAATACTTTTTATTTTACAAGTTCTTACAATTTTATGTTAAATATTAAAAATTAATCTAAACTTATGACAAGAAACTCAAAGATTATTCAATTATTTCATAACTTTGTAGAAATCAGTGTCAAACCCAAAACATTATACATAATAGAAGGGTTAAGTGCATGTCAAGATTAAATGAATATTGGGTTGAAGTTGATAATCCAGGAAATATGCTCATTTCATTGCTAATTAGAATTAGAATTTAAATTTTTTTTGTAAGAGTATATAATTTTTTTATATTATAATTTATATTTTTGTCGATCAGAATGTAAAATAATTATTCATTATCTTTTATTAATTTTCAGCTTTGCATTGATGAAATTACACCAGCAGCTTTTGAATTTCTTCTAAAGTACATGTATACTGGGCAAATGAAGCCAGGAATTCAAATAATTGGAGATGTATATCGTGCTTCTTTCAAACTGGGGATTAAGGAAGTATCTGAGAAATGCATCAAGGTGAGGAAATAGTTTACCTATTCTTTACATAAATGACAAAATTATAAGGGCTTGCTTGATTTAAATTAAGGTGATACTCAAATTGTTTGTTGAAATAATGTTCAAAACACCTTTTATTTTAAAAAATGTGGTGTACTTCTTTTATTCAGTTATTTTGTTTGTGGAATTTCTCAAAGATATAAGATATTTAAGAGAGTACGTATGTATAATTCCTTAGGAAGTACATATCAGTTGGACAAAAACAACATCAGAAAATTATAATTTCTGAGATGATACCTCACTTCTTCACACAGATATAGCTAACTTTCTCGTTTGCCTGCCAAAGAAACTTGCATGTCACTAGCCTTGAGGCAACTCCCACCTAATTTGATACAATTTAACATGATTTGCAATACTGCATGATGACATACCATAAACTGGGGTTACTTTGAACACTTTTTGATGAAGATACTACAGTTCATTCAATTTATGTATTATTAAAACATGAGACCTAGACATACCTTTCTTTTCTGTAAGTTATCAGTTCATACCCCAACCACTTGAAATTTTTTTAAAACCTTTTTTGCTGTTCAAAGAACCCCAAAAGTGAAGCTACTTTGAACACTTACTTCTATAAATTATTGACCAATCTTAGCTTGTATATGGGGCTATTTTGAACAGACTTGTGTGTTTTCTGATGTAATATGAAATACTTAAACTAATAAAATGATTGGATAATGAGACATAAACATTTATTATACTATTAACAGCACATTTCTTCCATATCGAAAACCCTATAAAATCACCTTTTATTGAAAAGTTTCACATTTTCTTGAGTGATAATTTTGTGATATCTCTCCAAACCTTCAATATCTCATCTTTAACTTTTGGCCAGCTCCATCCATGTGGCTTACACTTGGTAAGGACACTGACAATGGCAGTCACTTTTTCTACAGTTTGGAACCTTCATAATCAACCATCACAAACTTCCCAGCATTGACATTCTTTTCATACTTTTTGCTGCTGATCCTATAGCAGGTCCTGTTGCTAAGTCACCCTGACCAGCTTCATCTGCAGAACTGCATCCTGCACCCAGTCTCCCAGTTTCATTTTCTGATTTTTCTTTAGGTTCATCCTCTGATCCACTATGCACTATCACTCTCTCCTTCATCAGTCTGGGTTTCACTTCCATTGTCTTCATTTTCACTGTTGGACTTCCTTCTTTATGATCCTGGAACTGGATTTTTCAGCTGAGCCAGATCTTCGTAACTAATACTCTTTCCTTGGGGAACATTAATTTTATTTCATTGTCATAGAGGGCAACTCTTATCACCATCAACTCCTCTCATTGTCCTCAACATGTTAAGAAAAACATCAGACACACTGTTCCTTACACTTTCTGGATCTTCCTGGGTGTTGGCTGAATCTACATCCAGTAGCCTCTGCAAAACCTGTGATAGATTTAGAGGGAAGATGTCCAACTTCTTAAATCCAGCTTGCAAGTTTGTACTTGTTTCAGTGTCATTAGGATACAAGGGAACATACAGTTTTTTCAACAGTGATGGAAATACATCTTTGTTCAGAGTTTTGGCATTCTTCTTGTCACTTGATTTCCAATCATTTATGATTTTTCTCCAATACTATTTCAAGAGTCTATAAAATGTAACATCAAGTGATTGCATCATATGAGTTGCATTGGGTGAAAATACAAAGTAGATATTCTTCTGATCAGTAAGTATCAAAACAGTTTCTGTGAAGTTGCTACTCAGATTAGCTCCAATAACTACCTTTTCCAGGGTAGAAACAAACTTTGGAACAAGTCTGTTAAATAGCAAGCATCAACCAGCCACTCCAACTCCTCTTATATTGGATTCCCTTAGGTCCTCCCTAGTTAATGTTGTCCATAGGTTTTCTGCTTTGTAAACCATGTAACTTGGTATCATTTCACCTTCAGCAGATCCATGAAACATCATTGAAATGGATGATTGAGAACTATCTTTAATTCTTTATGCATACTTTACTACTCATTTGAAAATGCATTTCTTGATTCCAGGGTTATCACACAAATTGCTTTCATCGTAATTTAAGATGTTCTGTGTGGGCACTTCTAACTTCTTCAGCACTACACTTACCCATGATCTTTTGATGTTTTGACATGTTCTGCATGCAATTTCATCTTTATGCCTGTCTGTTAAACACAATGCCCTTTCAGGCAATGGGAAGTTGTTGGAAACTGCCTTACAGTACAACCCTGTGTATCTAGATAATTCTTTGCCAGAATTCTTATATAAAAAGTGTCAATTATAAACCTCCAGTCTGCCACAACTTTTATATTATTCATGAATGACTGCTCCTCTGTTTCAGTGAAGACTGTTGGATGTCCTACTTTTCCCAATGTTTTTTGTTCAGTTTGTCACTTAACTTTCCAAGCGGAATCTTGTATTCTTTGCTAGCTTTGTTTTTCTGTGATCTAGAGACTTTTTAACATCTTTGTCTGTGTAGCTCCTGTAGTGATGAGAATCAGACCATCATTAGTAGTATCTGGTCATTTTGAGAGATGTAACTTCTTTTGCTGAATATATGTGATTACTAGTACGAATTACATACAGGCTGATCCGAAATTTAAAACAACTATTCGTATTAGGCAACCCTAACACATATGTATAGAAAATTATAAGCTATTTAGCCAACTGAACCTCATAGAAAACGTTAGATAAATTAAACATGAGTTTGGGGTTACATTGAGTGGGTAGGGTCACTTTGAACTCGCTAAAGTATAAAGTCATCTAACCAGTAGGTTCAGTTTTCTCTCTCAGTCTGTGTGTACATAGTATACCATTTTCATACCCTTCCATCTCTTCTTCACCGGCCCTAGGATAGGCTCCTCCAGACGAGCATGTGGATATTCTCCACACATTCATCTCCTTTTCTTTACCTTCTGGCCGTTATATCTCATGATGGTTTTAGGCTTCCACAGATTGTTATTCTACAATTGCCCCACTGTCTTGGTGAAGAGTGCTTACTATTTCTCCTTCAGTGCCTCATTTTCATTTTATAGGATCCCACTAAGTGGCTAGTGTTGTCTCCCAGAGTATATTTACTCAAAATCCATATCAAGCTAGGATAATGGAAAGCATTCATACCATCTGCCCTGGCTCTGTCTGTGCTCACTGTAAGGTGGGGTGTTCTGAAAAACCACTTGAGGTAACGTTGTGGTACATATGTATATATATATATATACATTTACATTATTGTCTGATCCAGACCATACATATTCCATGAAATACCATGGAAAATGTTAACAGCAGGGAAATTTTCTGCCAACTTCTCAGGCTCATGCTTGTTGGCTTTTAAAAATAGCATTTCACAACCATCCATTGCACTGTCTCCAGTAAAAGATCTTTTCAGACTGAAGGACCGATGAGTAACCAGGTGCTTTTTCCAGATTGCCCCTATGCAACTTCCCCCCCCCCCCCCTCATCAAGTGGAGCATGGGAGACCCTTGTCACTTACCAGTTCCTAACCACAGGGGTGGGGAACCATGGAGAACCCTCATCTATTGGATGCAACCACTAGAGCTAGACAAAGGAGTACTAATATGTTGAGAAGTGGGGCAGTGGGGACAATATCAGTGTAGTGCCAGTCACCCCTCATATAACACATATGCTTCACTCATGCCAATTGTGCCCTTCTTCTGCAGTCTGAGTCTGTCCAATAGAGTTAAGGTATATACATATTACATATAGACCAATACTACATAACTATAGTACCCTCCTCCTGCTGCTGGGGCATGTCCTGTAAAGTCTGACAGTAGAGTTGAGGCAAACACACATAATACAGGACTAAATGGCATGGATAATGTACCTTCCTCTCTCAGCTGGAGTCTGTCCCATAGAGTCTGATAGTAGAGTTGAAGTAGGTACACAAGGTATGGTCTGAACTTGCTCCAACCACACTATACATATTGACTGTCCTACTGATTGTGTACAAGTCCTCAGATGGTCATGTTCATATTCCACCTTTCTCTATGAGACATATGGCTTCTTGGCCTTTTCTCTCTTCCTATATGAGATGAGATGCAGACTCCCACAGGTGTGCCCCTATGGAACCTCTGTCATCGGGTGTCAAACTCATGAGCTTCCTTTAGGTGCTTCCTGAAGAATGCTCATCCAGGTAATTAGGTAATCTTTGCAATGATCCCTCCACCAATTCAACATATGATTCTAGCTGTATCTGTGTGAGAGGTGAGATATCATTTCATAAGTTAACATTTTCCTTACCTAAAAATTTATTTCCAATAGATACTCACCTTCTTACACATTCCCACCCATCCTCCCCACTTAGAGTGCATTTCTGTTTTCCTTGCCAAAGAATGAAGTCTGTATGAGTGCAAATGCTTGAGTTATTGCACATAGGTGTGTGTCACCCTCCTATTGGTGGAGGGCTTTGTCAGATGATTATGTCACCATGCAGTAGTGCATTTCACATCAAATCATGTGAAATTAGGCGGAATTTGCCTCAAGAGTAATAGCATGTAAATCTCATTGGCAGATGCACAAAGAAGATAGCTATATATATGTTTGCAAAGGTATCTATTGGAAAAACATTTTTAGGTAAGGAAAATGTTAACTTTACCAAATGTAGCTGGTTATAAATCTTCAAGGCATGCTGATAAAAACATTTTATATTTAACTGGCTCTCTGTTAAGTCAGGTTATTGAAAGTGTATATTCTGATAATGAAATGCTTGTCATAATCAAAACCTGATAAAACTTTAACACTGTTGGTGGGTCAACTTGTGAAAAAGACTAGGACTTTATAGGTTTTTCTTTTTTAATGACATTTACCAAATTCGTAGATTTTACATGTTTTCATTATCATAAAGTTACTGCTGATAGTATTGAATTTTTCTTAAAAATGGTGTAATTTGATAGTATCTGAGGCTTTTTATTAAACTTTTGAATATATTATACAAATATATATATATATATATATTGATGGAATTTAGAGGGTGTGATCATGTTGCACACCTCCCCTACCTATATATGTATTAGTTTATGGTGTAAAGTGGTAGAACTACTTTATACTAATTATAATATGTAAACATACATAATTATCTAAAATCTATGAGTCCTCCATCTGGTCCATTTAAACTGAATATTATAACTTAAACACTGTACTATTTTCTTTATGATAAATGTTTTAGAACTCATTACTCACATCAGTACTCATATCATCATTTTTATGAAAGGCTTAATAATATATAGTAATTGAAAACTTAAATGATTGAAAGTACTTAGCTGATGTAGTTAGTTATTATGCCTAAAGAGGTAGGGCTTGATCCTGTTTAATTGCCATAAACTATACTTAACCAACCCAACACATAGTACAAAAATCATAAAATGGACCTGTTACATTTTTCTAAGACTATTTGTCAAAATTTTCTAGACTGTATTCTGTATTATAAAAATAGAAAATATTTAAAGCTATAAAAAATATCCTTGAAATTTTTAACTGTGAATTATAATTATAGTTACTTAGGGGTCAAGAAGAACTGGTTAGCACCTTGTATATTTATGCAACTTCTAAGAAACTTGGACTACAAAAAACATCATATCTTGCTTATCAAGTTATTCTTGAGAGATTTGGAGACATCATTACCATCCCTGAATTTATGGAGCTAGAGGCTGATCAGCTATGTGAGATTTTGTCAGGAGATGTAATTGGAACTGACAGGTATTACTGTAGTGTTAAATTAAGCATAAATATGCACATCAAAATGTATGCACAGCTTTAGTTAACTTCCAAAAGAGTTAGGTAAATTTACAGGCAGAGGTTTTCTTATGCAAGTACCTATATTTATCATATTACCCAAAACATTCATATATGCTGTAACACCATGAATTATATATTGATCAACTTTTCAAGCTGAATTATATGAAAAAAATGCAATATAACATTTTTTCTAAAAATATTTTAATATAAAATAAGATAAAGATCAGAAGGTATATTTATAAACAATTGGTAAGACAAAAGATGTCAAAAATTAAAGTTAAATGCATTATAATAGAGTATTTCTTGATAATTTTTATATAACTCAAAAATCTTGAGTCAATTGGCATAATTTTCACCAATAGTCCACCAATAGGAGTGCAACACACACTTCTTGTGCAGCTGGCTCACTCTATACTGATTGTTCAATTATCACTTCTTGATTTGGTACTTACATGCTCAGATGTGTGTTTTTCACATGTGATAATTGTTCAATTTGCATTTTATTTTGATTTGTTTTTCTTTTCCTTCCAACAACAACATTTCTTGTTGTTTTTTTTATTCATTTAATCACAACCAATAGTTGTGAAAAGTTTATTTTGATTAATTATTCTTCTTTCCACAAAAATGAACTCCCAAGTTCATATTTACTGCTAATTTGTCTAGCATTGATCAACAAGTTCTTATTCAAGCTGGATGAACATCAACTAGGGCATTGGGCTCCTCTTTGTCTTTTGAGAAGGTGTCATCCATTGTGCATTGAGAGTTATAGTCATACATATAATCTGTTCCTTTTCTAATCTTGGAACAGATATTCCCTGACAGTTGAACCAGTTTATGAGAATGATGATTTGGACAGCCTTTTTCCACCATCTGTTTTTGCTACAACTTCTACTTCTGCTGTCATTGTCCTCCTAGACCTTTCTTTTCTTTTCTGGATATGATTTCTCAGGGTTGTTACATTTTGTCCCTTTCTCCTTTGTCCTATGGTTCTTCTCTCTCTCTCTTCTTCATTCAGCCCCTATACTGATTATTATGTTTTCCTTCCTTTTCCTGATATTCAGGTAAATGCTGATCAGTTTCTGTTTAAACCTTTTGCTGGTGCCAGCATGCCTTGTCCTCCTCACTTTGAAGATTCATATGCTTTGGCCTTTCATAGGGCTGAATTTCCTTTTCTGGACATACAAAATTTAGAATTTTTATTCATGCTTGGGATCAGATCCCTTTTCTTCGTTTTCTACCAACTCAAGTCTTGTATTCTTGTCTGATGCTTACTACTCTTTGCGCTATCTTTCGTCTATCCACCTCCTTTCAGAGACTATCCACCATTCACCTGAGGGATTTTCAGTGGATACTCATTCTCTTGTCTTTTTGACTTTGGCGCAGTTACCTTCTTTAGCTTTATCTCTTCATACATACTCGCTTTGTTGCTGGGATCTGCTGGGCAGGGATGCCTTTCTTATTCAGGTGTGTTTACCTGCCTCTTATCTCTGACCTTCGTCTGGCTCCTCTGCTAGCATGTTTGTGTGGGAGTACTGGACTCTTTGAAATTTTGGTTGAGGCTGTATGCTAACTTTCTTTCATTTCTTCCTTGGTTTCCTGTCTTTTGCATACCTCTCCTACACCCACATCTGTTTCCTGCCCTTCTGCTTCCTTTCTTCTCTTGATTCCTCTTTCCCATGTTTCTGCTGCTATCCATCATTACACTACCCATAGACTTCATCACCATCAATATCAACAGTAACTACCCTTTGGATTCGGGTATAGTAGGAGAACAGTTGACTAGGGACCCAGTTTATTGCCAGCATCTGTCTGAGGCAGTGTTGGACCTATTGGCATAAATCTATCAAATGAGTTTTTTATCCTTCATCAGGATCTTATTCTCTTCTCTACATAATTCCCAAGAAAACAGGGAATTGTCATCCAGTTATAAATCTTTCATGCCTCAATCAGTTTATCGACCTAACTTGTTTTATTATAGAGGCTTTTCTCACCCCTAGATGGGCCTTTGCTTCAGGTCTTTGGATGACCAAGGTGGATGTCTCAGGTTCTTAATTTCACATTCTCATTTCCACAGCATCTAGATGTTACCTTAGGTTTGTTCACAGGGATCAGGTTTTTCAATTCTGTGCTCTTCCCTTTGTTCTGGCTTTGGCCCCATATGCTTTTTGGTTGGTAGTCAAAGTTTTGTTTGGCATATGCATGGCTTGAGACTGTGGTTTCACCATTGTATGTGTGACTGGCTTCTTTTGGCTCCCTCCCAAAAAGCCACCTAGAACAAAACTCATCTCCTCTTTCCGGAGGTGGCACGACTGGGTTGGTTGGTCAAATTGGAGAAGTCATGTCTCACACATACTTACCATCTCATTTATTTGAGTGTGTTTTTCAATTCACATCTCAACAGGGCTCAATCTTCTTTTTTGTTTTTCATTTGAAGGACATGGAGCAATTAGTTTCCAACATTGTGTCTTCTTCTTCTTCACTCACTGTGCAGGAAGCTCTCTCTCTCTTTTGGGGACTTGGGTTTCCATGAGACCCTTTATCTCATTGAGTTGTGCTCATATGTGACATCTCCAGTGGTCTCTGCATGATCAATGAAACTTTGCTTGGGATCCCTTGTCCTCTTCCATTCATCTTTCTCCTCCTTTACTCAGTGACTTCAAAACCATTACCACATTGGGAGTTTCTCTTCTTCCTTCTCCTATGGATCTCCATCTCTTTACAGATGCATCCTTGACAGAATGAAGGGCATATATCGACTCTCAAGAGATTTCAGGTAAGTGGTCTCACAAAGAATCAGCCCTTCACATCAATCTTTTAGAACTTCTAGTAGTATGTTGTGCATTGGATCATTCTCTTCTGATGGTTTGGGGACATCTAGTTATGATCCATACTGACAACTCTACAGTTGTCTTCTATATCAATCACCAGGGATGCACTTGGTCTTACTTTCTCTGTTTTCACAGTCTTGATCTCATTTTCTGGGTTCATTCTTTACAAGTACAGCTAATGGCCTGTCACATTCCAGATTTCCTGAATCATGTCACAGATCAACTCTTAAGGCCCAACAAAATATTACCTACAGAGTGGTTCCTCGATCTTCAGACGTTCAAGTGGCTGTGCTCTCATCTGGACACTGTTCTTATAGATGCATTTGCCATTCATTTAAACACCAAATTTCCCCTTTTCTGGTCCCATTCGTCAACCATCAGTTCTAACTGGGTATGTGTTCAGTCATGTCCTTTTCTCTATGTCTGCCCTCCTATTTATATTCTCCCTTGTGTTATTTTCCATATCCAGGATACTCTGTGTTGAATCCTGATAGTTACATGTTGACCGGCTCAAACATGGTTTTCTCTGTTTAACCTTCTCTGTTCTTCTCCTCCTTATCCTCTATCATGATCCCTACTCCTCCAACTGGTCATTGCACCAACCTTTTTCTTCTTTCCATCCTTCTGGCCTCCATTTTTCAGACTTTTTTACATGGTTATTTGACCAGGGTTTGTCACTGTCAATCACTGCTAGCTACAGGGCAGTACTTTCTAATACTTTCAGGTTTTCTTGTTACCATCATGTCTTTACTTTTCTATGCTCTTCCATTCTTTTCGTCACCTTTGTCCTCCATGTTCTGCTTCTTTCTTAATGGAAACCTGAATGTCATTCTCCATGTCCTTACTATTAATGAAAGCAACTTTAAAATTTTCATGATCATGTGTGATGTGAAACTGCACATATGTAGAATAACTGAAAAATTTTAAATATTGTATAGTAAAACAAGAAGGTGGGAATGCATAGTATGCTTACATGCCACATATTGATTAGTTTAGCACTGAAAACAGGTCTTCTGTAGGTAACCTGATTTGTAAAAAAGGCAGTTAACTTTACTAAAATTTTGAAACAAATGGGATAAAGAATTCATTTCCAAATGAAGATTCTCTCAAGAGGTGAATCGATAAACACAAAAGTATTGTTTTAAAGTTTTCATACTAAATTATTATTGATGTAAGGCAGTTTTAATGCTTTTTATTATCAGCCAGATAGTGTTATGTCCAAAACAGCAACTAATATCTGTATGAGCAACTCCTTATTTTAGTGTTGAAAATTTTAAAAGATTGGTTTTAACATGTTCATCAGCTAGTATTAAAGCAATTTGTTGACAAGCCAAACTATTCTCTCTTTTTTTGCTTTATATGATAATACTGCGGTTTTCTTATCTGGTTTCATCATTTATAATTTCCTGAGACTATTATTTATGTAACATTAATATATTGTTATATGTTAAGACTATTATTTATGTGACACTAATAAATTATTATATGTTCTTTACCTTTACTTCTTATAATTACTAATGTAGCCTTCTCCCATTGCCACTGTGACTGCTTGATCTGCTCCAAGAACAATAAAACTAGCTTGCTGGTTTCTCAATTCTTCCGAATGATGAGTAAAGTTACTTCAAGTAAACTGCATAATAACAATAATAAATAATTGGTGTTCAAATGAATGATATTTCTTTAGTAATCATTACCTTAATTGCGATTTGTAAATAACTCATATAAAATTGATAAAAATTACACTTTTCCAACTTAATCTGGTTCACACAACAGCTGTTCATGCAACTTGGTATTATAAATAGCACCTCACTGGTGTGTCTGTTATATCCCAGTTGGCCTGGAAGTTGCAGCAAGAAGTGTGTATGGCTATTATGAACATGTAATGCTATTCAACATGGAGTTATGCATTTCTTGTTTTTTATTCTATTGTCTGAAATGAGCATATTTACAGCATACATGGTATATTCTACACTGTTTTCTCCAAAATCATATGACTTCTTGGCTCTGGTTTCACTATATAGTACAATAACTACAAGGAATATCTCTAAACATTATATAAACTTCAAGAACAAACTAGTTACAATCAGCTTCAGTACAAAAACCTCTCTGTTCAAACTATTTAAATGTGATCTTTAAGTTCTGACTGTTAAAAAACACCTTGCACAGAAATGTAACATTTCATTAAGGTAAAGTTTACAAACATTCAATATACAATGTAATCTTACAATCTGTAAATGCCAACATACACTTTTATTTTACGCAGCATTCTTTTAAGTATATAATAATTCACTTTCTAACATGTCTAATTGTGTTATATTTGCAGTAAATTTAGTTGTTATAATAAATATTATCGTTCAAGCAAACAAGGTTGACATAATGTTCCACATTATAAACATGAAATACTAACAAAGCAAACCAATGTTAAATTATAAACTAGTCCAACTATTCATTCTTAAGGAAATCACTGAGTTTCTACCTAGTTCCTTCAGGTGTTCTCCACCATCCAGTTAAGAAAGGTAAACTTTGACAACCAAGACACTTCAACTTTCTATGTTTGCTGTTCTTTAAACAGGTAACAATAAGCAGTCCACTTGGACTGTGAGCTCTTTAATTGCTAGGCAGTCATCAACACCAGCCCACCACTTGTAGGAGTCTCTCAGAGTTACTTAAACTTGATTTTGACTTCCATGAATAAATTACTTATAATCCACATCTTTTCATATCACAATGCTTCTATAAACTGGCAGCATTTACAGAAATTTATGTTCACCTATGTTTATGAAGTAACATTTCCTATGAGACATCTGCCACATACAGAGTAATGAATTAACATTTATGATGAAGCAACTTATTTGATAAAAGAACACTGCATCATCATATTACTTCTTCACTTACTTCTTCTGCAAGTGACATACATACATATTTGTAACAATTTATGTGATTAATGTGAAGCAGTACATATCACAAGAAGGTCACATACCATAAGAGTAATAAATCAATCAATCTGGAATGTTACTAGTGATGTTAACTAACATTATTATAAATGTCTTTGAAATACTTTTTCCAAATAATTTCATTTTCTAAATTGTGCTGAATGTCCTAAAATTCTAAGATACAGTTTCTGCTCCTAATTCATTTTGAATATTCTGCACATTTTGAGAGTTTGAAATAAAAGAAAGCTCTTTTACCTATTATAGTGCATACTTAACAAGATGTGATTTATACTCTGTCTGTCTAGTAATAGGATTAAATTTAAGTAGATACAAGTACAGACTGTTACTACTGTTACATCCAGGAAAGAATATGTTGAAAAAAAAAGATAGATAATTTTCAAAATGTGGTGTAGTAACCCATAAAAACACACATTGTTAAACTACAAAATTGGACAATAACAATTTTAACTGAGTTTTTTTTTAGTACGAATGTGTAATAGTCAGTTTTTGTAATTTGCATTTAGTGTCAAAAGTAAAACATAAAACAGTAAAATGTGTCAATTTTTCATTTGTTTTAATGGTTTTGACCAAAGTATCAATATTGTTAAATACTGGAAAACTGAAAGCAAATATATTCTTTTTTTTTTTTACAAGTGAAATTGTGTTATATTTAGCTGCACTCAAATGGCTAGATCATGACTTTTTGAGGAGAGTGGAATATGTACATCATATAATGAGTTGTATACGATTTTCGTCAATGTCTCTGGAAGAAATACTTGCTTGTTATCATCCTCCAATTTTGCCTTGTGTTACACGATATCCTACCATAAGAGATATGCTATTGAGGGCAACGTGGTAAGAAAGTATCAGAATTGATTACTAAAGATTCTAAGTAAAAAAATTATGTAGTGCCAGAAGTATGATGATAATAAATAATATAACAATAATTTTCTGTTCATATCATAATACTTTGCTAACATTTAGCCCTGAAATGATTTGATATAATAAATATTTGTTGTTTTTCTTATTATGATTTATTTTAGCTAGGTTTTTTGTTGTCATCTTGGAAGTGGAAGATGTGAATGGCATGAAAAAATGTCCAAACAATTATGCAACATATTTCATTATTGTAATGGAATATTTATTTATCAAATATATTGCATTTCTAAATATTAAATATGGAACCTTTTATTTCATACATACAGAAAGGTTTTATGGAAAAGTACTGCACATTTCATACAAGAAAGCAAGCTTGTCGCAGTTGTTTCAGGGAACAGATTTCCATAATTTTGATTCATAAAAATATCAAGCATATTCACAGTAAAGACTTATGTGTTTGAAATTTGTAATTATTTACTGTTTTTTCTGTCAAATGTTATCAGAATATATTGATTCACACAAACCTTATTTTATGATGTTGTCAGGTTTGTTTTTCAATGTTGAGATATTACAGTAAATATTTATTTGACTACCTGAAAATTAAAATAAAATGCTATTTTGATTCCATGTACTGCACTTATTACCGATAAAGAAATTTTATACTCATCATAAAACAAATTATTAATGTGAGGTATATTATTATTATAGTAAAATGCAAAACATTTTGTTGCCCTGATACTTATTGTGAATATGTACTAAGGTAAAAAATAATATCCTAATTTAGGAATTTTTATATGATACCTTTTTGAAACTGAATTAAGAATCTGAAAACATAATTTTTTTAGTGTATTTTAGAATACCATTGTAACTATTTAAAACAAAAAAGTCAGTTCTGAAACATACTTACCTAGACTGTTAGGGTTTCTTCCTTTGCTCTTTTAAGCATTGGTCTGATATTTTCTCACTTGCTCTAGTCTTTTATACCCAATTTAATTTATTTATCTTGTGACATTCTCCACCTATGTCAATGTGCCCTCTATCCTTGTACTATATATATAAGTACTTCAATTAGTTAATGTTATCACTTTTTTCGACAAAGCGTTCAGGAACGGCTTCTCTGTACTGCGACTGTGAGAGACATTTGTAGCAATTTTCACATCACCTAGTTGATTTTTGTAAAGAAAAAAGTTTTTTTTCCCCGTTGCAACAAGCCCATATACTGCATAAATTCCTAAATTACCGTTTCAGGCATGAAGGTTAATCACACCTCGCCTATTCCACCTCTGATGTCTAGTGTCACTCAACAGTTGGAGGGGGGAGTCACTTTAAGTTGAGGCTGTCCATTATCTGAATCGTAGTGAAAAGGAGATATATATATTCAGTCTATTGGTGTTTTTCTGAGGGGCTCTGAGGCTGCATTTGTGGGTGATTCTGGACATTCAGGAAAGAACTTAGTTTCATTTTTTCGGCACTTTCCCTTACTTCTCATGAGGCCAATTTGGATCAGCCACCTTTTGCTTCTTTTCTTCACTTAGTCAATTGGGTGTGTGATGTTTTGGATTTTTCTCCAGTAGCTATTGAATCTACACTTTCCTCGAAAGGCAGAAATGTCTGAGGGAGAATACTTATTAGCCCTTCCCCCATCACCTGATTTTGCTGTTCATGCAGGGAGGTTTACCGCTCAGTTACGTGAAGTGATAGCTATGCCTTGTCTGACATGCTTTGGCTTAAAACCGCCAGGGGGACACATAGTTACCCGCCCAATGACTAGACCCACATTTGGAAATGTGTTCCAAAGCAGAGCCTGTGATCAACTTGAACAGATCACAATTTTCTAGGATTAATCTGACCATCACTGTGGTTATGAGATAATTATTATCACTTCATATTATGTTGGAAGCCTCTCGGCAATCACCACACCAATTTGATGATGTGTTAGGACCTTTGTTGCCACCTGCCTTGGTACAGTTATCAGCTTCTGGTCTTCTTTAGTTTCTTGGCTGGGATGTTGTTGGGTAGAGATGCATTGTTGGAGAGTGTTCATCTACCTGCTGTTACCCTCTGTGAGTTATGTGAGGTCTCTTTTCTTTAACCCTTGATTTTTGCAGGTGTTCCAGAATCGTTGGAATCACAGATTGATGTCACCTATCTGCATTCATCAGTGTTGTCATTGGCTTCTTGACTTTCCTCGGCCCTACCCCTGTTTGAGTGTTCTGACCCCCAACATCATTCCCTCGATCCATTGGTACCCAGAACATATTCCGCCCATATCAAAGAAGCTCCTTCACTCAATCAGAATGCCACCAGCAGTGGCCATGACTATCCTATGCTAATGGGGTTTGTAGAGGCTCGGCTATGACATTTTCTGGACATATGGAATTCCTTTATCACAGATCCATTGGTGCTACAAATTCGTATGTCGGGGTTAGTCATTCAGTTCACATCTACACCACCATTATCCCTACCCTCCAACCTGTAGTGTATCCACCTCCAACAGATCCTCGGAATTTGGACCTTCATTCCAAGGCTATCAGAGAATTGTTGGTCAAGGGGGCAGTAGAGAGAGTGTACTCAGTTCTTCCAGGGTTTTCCCATCTGTTTTTTTGTCCAAGAAGATGAGAGATTGGCATCTGATCATTGATCTTTCTCGTCTCAACTAATTCTTAGATCCTCTCAGGTTCACAATGGAGTCATTCCTCACCCTAAATTGGCATTTTTTGCCAGGGCTGTGGATGACCAAGTTCTATGTTCAATGACGAAAAACCCACTTTGAGAGTAATAAGCCGTCTCCAAGCATTACAAGTTCTATGTTGCCGATGCCTATCTCCACATTCTCATAGCAGATTTGTTCCACCAATATCTAAGTTTTGTGCACAAGGGTCACGTACTGCAGTTCAAGGCTCTACCCTTTGGACTAGCATCAGCATCATATGTGCTCTGCAGAAGAGTACGAACTTTTTCTCGTCAACTCCATTCTCTAGGCCTGGGCACACACTATTATATGGACGACTGGTTACTCTTGGCAATGTCTTGTCAGTTGGCAGAATGTCACACCCAGATTCTCCTTTCGGAAGCCACCAAGGCAGGCTTTATTATCAGAACTGAGAAATCTATTCTCATTCCAACTTAATATATCATCCATCTGGGTGTCTTTTTCAACACGTATCTCAGTCAGGTTCAGCTGAATTTCATTTGCCTCCATGCAATGGAACATAGAGTTTGGTTCTTACTCACATCTTCTTCCAATGTGCAAAGGGTTCTTTCCCTTTTGAGGATGTGGGCATCACTCAAATCTCTCATTTGTTTAGAACAAGCACACATGAGATCCTTTCAGTGGTTACTGTGTGACCAATGGATCATGAACAGTGATCCACTGGATCACCCAGCCTCCTTATTTAGGATCAATATCTTAGATTTCGACTGGTGATTAGATCAGAACAATACTACAATAGGTTTTTTGCTACTGCCACCTCGTTCCAAGATCCATCTCTTCGCAGAGGCCTCAGTTCATGGATGGGGTGCATATATCAATGGTCAGGAATTCCAGGGCCTATGGACGGATGACAAACTTCCTTCCACATCAATATTTTAGAACTTCTTGCTGTCGAAAGGACAATGTCTCAAAATCTGGAATAATTGAGTGGAAAAATCGTCATGCATCACTCCGACAATTCCATGGTGGTGTCTAACATTTCCTGTCAATGGGGCACTCAAACACTGGATCCTCTTTATTGTGCTCACTCACATCATATCAGCCTACCAACTTGCCACGTTCTAAGAGTGATGAATTTAATAGCAGATCAATTGTCTCGACCTAACCGAATGAATGTTACATCATGAGGTTTTCTGTTGGATTTGCTCTCATTTTAGGACAATGATGAACGATGCTTCTGCCACACATTGGGACACTCAACTACAGCATTTTGATCCCTGGTATCTCACCCTCGGGCATGGTGATAGGTGCATTCAGTTAGGACTGGATGGGATTGCACCTCTGTGCCTTCCCATCAGTTCGTCTGTTACCCAGAGTTCTGGCTACTGTTTGGTCAAACCCTTGTCATGTGCTGTTGATAGCACCAGATTGGCTGGCTCAACCATGGTTTCCACTTCTTCAGTATCTTCTAGAGTGCCCACCTCTGTCATTTCTTCTTTGGCTGTCTCTGTTGAGGTAACCTCGATCTGACATCATACACCCAGATTTAGCAAAGCTCAAGCTTCATGCATGGAAGTTATGTGGTCCTTTGGATGGCATAGGGGTTTAACTTCTAAGGCTGCAATGTATTTATCTCAGTCTCTGAATATTCCCACGATAGACATTTATCAAAGGAAATGGCACATATATTGAAAATGGTGTCTCACGAAGAAATTGAACCTACTTTGTCCAGACGTGCCAACCATAGCTCGTTTTTTGACCTAGCTTTTTGACAAGGGTTTAGCTTTGCCTACAGTTGCCTTATATAAGGCAGCTTTATCGACTACATTTAGATACTCAAAAAGATGGAAATTAATTGAGTCCCCAGTGCTATCCTTCCTTCTCAAGTTGTTTTGAGTCCTTCATCCCAAAAGGCCTTTTCAGTTATTTAACTGAGATATTAAGGTGATATTACTGGCTCTGTCTTGACATTTGTTTGACCCCTAAGCCTCATGTACCATGTATCATCTTTTCCTTAAAGTTTTTTGTTGTTGCTGGTGGCATGTGGACATCGCTTACTGGAGTTGTTTGCACTGCATGAGCACAGGACCTTTATCATTCTACTTACATCATTTTATACCCAGACAGGTCCTTCCTACCTAAGACTCTGGCAGCCAGGGAAGGGGATAAATCCTTCTCACTAATTCATCTGACAACTGTTTCTCACCTCTATGATTGCTCGGACCATGATCACTTGTTATATCCAGTTAGGGCTTGAAAATTGATCCTTATACGTTATTCTGGGCTCTCTTTGAAAGCGAGGAAACTTTTGCGAGTCACGCCTCATTAGATTTGTTACATTTATGTGTCCTTAGCTGCCCAATTGAATTGTCCACTGGAGGACATTGTGTGAGCTGGTATGTGGACCTATCACATTATTTGCATAATCTGGCAGTTTCTTCCTCTGAGGGTTTTCAACTACCCCTATGACTATCTGGACCACGTCAGCTAAATTATAAGGAGAAGTGAGTATTTTTATTGCTCCTCTTCTCTTTTTACTTTACAGGGTCACTTACCTCTTTTTTTTCACTGGATCCCACTCTGTGGCAAATGTTGCCAGGCAGGTGTGCTATATCAAACCAATTCTGCAAAAGCAACCACAAACTCAACATACTTTATCTAGGTTGCAACAGGCTCTGTATAAACGACGTGTTCCATAAGATCACCTAGAGGCTAACTGGGTGGTATTACTGTATTATGCTAGACTGTCACTTATGGACTATCATGAGAAAATCATAAAGGAATCCTGCCCATCCCTGCCGATCATTAGACTGAATAAATTGGGGTTGGTTTGCTTTTTAAAATTTTGAGTCTTTTATTGAGTATAGTCTGTTCCACGTCTCCCCCATAATTCTGGGGGCAAGTAAAATTGACCATGCCCACACTGTTGTGGAATGAGAATGAGTGTCCATAATTCCAGACCAGATAAGTTATGTTTCCTCAGCTTGAGTAAGGCATACACTATCCCGTTGCCTTTTGGACATCTTCAGGTTGAGGAGAAGGTTTGTCCATTTTGGCTACACTCATATGTGGGTGTATATATAGATTGAAGTCCAATTGCCCTAGCCACCAACATGTTATATATGGACCATGACTCTATAATTCCAACCCTGAGTAGTGGAACCTCAGCTGTCTGGTTGGGGCCTGCCCAGTAGTGATGATAAATTATGTAAAGTTCCACCCACAGTACATGAATTAAGTTCTGGGTGAAGAGTACACTACATCCTGTTGTGGATGTAGTGAGGTTCCCCCACTATGGTGCCTATCTTCGATTGACACACCTACGATCTATGCAGACACTTTCTGTATGGATAATGCTCTCACCAGCCTCCATCTTATCAGTGTGGGATTCTAGCTATAAGTGTGAGGAGAGAGGTAAGTATGTTTTGGAAATTAAAATTTTCATAACTTAAATTGACAAACTATTTCCAATAATACTTGCCTCCTCTCTCCCACCCTTCATCCACACTAAGAGCCAGTATTAGAGACTGGGATTGAGTTAGTCTCAAAAAAAAAGTAATAACATTATCTAAATGAGGTGCTTATATACAGTACCAGGATAGAGGGCACATTGACGTAAGTGGAGAGTATCACAAGACAGATATCCCCAAGGACAATTAAGTGGAGTATAAAAGACTGGAGCAAGTGAGAAAAAATGATATGGGCAAAGGAAGAAACCCTGGCAGTCGATTAATAGCTCCAAGTGTGAGGGAAGGTATTATTGGAAATACATTTTTGATTTAAGAAAATGTTAACTTTTGTTTTTCCCTTTTAGAAAGGCCATGTATTTGGAAATTTTCCTCTTTTTAACTGTAAACAAGAGTTATTTACACTTTATGGTTTCATTTAATTAAATAACTGCTTTTTTATTTTCAGTTACATAGCAGCAAAATTAACTAAACAAGATATGTATTTTAAAGAGTATGTTTCTCGCCCTCGTCAGTTTCTGGTAAAATACAAACGTATGCTAGGATGGGTAAGTTGTATTTGTGTGGTGATAGTAAAGCATGTTAATAAAGAAATTATCACTATATCATCTTATTCTCTTAACTACATTTCACTACATATCTGAATTTAATCTTAATAGTTGTGGAGAAATATTGATTAGTATGACTCTCATACCTATCAACGTTCAAAATAAAGTCATTAAGGTTCTTGAAAAGTTTTATACAATTACATGAAGTGGAAATGCTTACTGTTCAGTCCATACCCTTTATAAGATAAATTATCTGGCATAAAACCGTAATTGTACCTAAATTTCTGCTCATGAGAGAATAATTTATAAAACCATGTTATGAGGTTAACTCTTGTATTTAATTTTATTTATTTAAATTATTTTTTGTAGTTAAAAAAATCTCTTTGATGACTTTATAAAAAGATAACTTAGTTTTTTGTACATACATGTAATGATACAGTAACTGAAAATAATGCAATTTCTGATGCAGGACTTACCTCTACTCACAACATTAGCTATTCTCATTCAGTGCTGCCCTCTATATGCGAACTTTTTCTTTATGCATGCTACAAGCCTTCTGTTCCCTGTTGGGATTACGATATTCTAACATGTCTCTCATGTAAATCATCATCATGCATCATCTCTTTACCAAAATAGCATGATATGCTCATGTGATGTATGTGGCTCCCTCTCCACTCCTCTACTGAGCCTTCACTTCTCATTTGGCAGTGTTTCATCTAAGACACTCTTTTGTGTGCCTAGTGCTTCCAGTGTGACAAACAAACAAAATTTTTTTTTCACACTAATTTGATTTATCTCACCTCAACCTCTTCATCATAGTCTTCGAGTTCACCATGGAATCTTTTCTCACCCTGAGATGGGAATTTTCCCAGGGGTTGTGTATAATGAAGATGGATGTCTCTAATGTTTACTTCCACATCCCAATAGCACATCGGATCTCGATTTTGGTTTGTCCATCTTTGGGTGGTTTACCAATATTGTGCACTCCCCTTCAGACTTGCCTCGGCTCCCTATGTGTTTTTTTCGCATAGTCCGAGTTTTTGCATGTCATCTCCATGCACAGAGGAGACAATTTCATTATTACATGGACAACTGACTCCTTCTGAGCAGGAATCGGCCACTCATACTCACCAACTCCTTTCTGTGGGGGCTGGTTGATCAAACTAGAGAAGTAATTCCTTCAACCCACTCAACATCTAGTCCATTTGGCCACCTACCTTCTCCTTTACATCTTTGTTCAATGGAACTTTTGGTTTACCATGCTTTTTCATCTAAATCCCTTACTACTCTCGAGGTTCTATCTCTTTTGGGGATGAGGTCCTCCATGACTACAATGGTCCCTCTTGGTCATGCCCATATGAGATCCCCTCAGTGGGGATCTCATTACTGATAGAACCTTGCTTGGGATCCTCTTTCCACCCCATTTCCCTTCCTACTTCCCTGCGAGATGAGCTGCATTGGTGGCTGGACATAGCACGTACATCGGTGGATGTGCTGCTTCCTTCCCCTGCATCTGGATCTACATCTTTCCTGGACACATCCTTTTGGGGATGTGGCATGGGTCAATCATTAAGAAGCTTTGGGCCATTGGTTTGCAGACAAAGCTGTCTTGCACATCTTGAATTTCTAGCAGTATATTGGGCATTACATCACTTCCTTCTTCTCACCCATCATTGTCTGGTGATGGTGAATTCGGACAGTTCTATGGTGGTGGCCCATATTAACCACTAAGAGGGCACCCAGTCCAGAGAGCTATGTTTTTGTACTTTGGATCTATTATACTTGGCCCACGCACATCACATTCATCTTATCATATGTCATGTGCCAGGTGCTTTCAACCTTCACCCTCTCTTCTTCGTCAACCTCGATTCCACATTCTACATCCCAAGCTCCACATCCTGTATCTTCACGCCTAGCTTTTGTCGAGTCCTTGGCGAGATGATCTGGTTTCACACATCCTTGTTAGCTCATTCCATACTTCCATCTGTATACAGTACTAGAACTTCTTTTAAGGTGGATGTTTCAACATTTTCTGAATCCATAAGAAAATGCCATTCTCTAATCCATACATGCATTTTAAATTGCATTAATATTTTTGTGCAGTCATGTCTTTATGTTAATAACAGTTTCTTGTCAAATCTTAGAAAAATCAAATTATGTTAACAACCTCCGAAAATTTGTAAATTATAAACTTATAAATAACCAAAAAAACAAGCTAAAGATAAATAGAAGAACTACAAAACTGTTTGAACTTATTATTGTTTCTGATGAATATATCACTGCCATTGTTTTTTCTGACTTTGACACAACTTTTGTTTTGATACAAAGTGTTTTTTTCCTAGTTTTTGAAAAACATGTACAATATGTAATTGAGTTGTAAGTTTAATATGATTTGACTCATGCAACAAAACTCTGTAGATCTTCACTTTCTTTCTTATCTCCTATTTTAGCATTGTGTTGATTGGGATGCAATACAGGATTATAATGCTGCAGCAATTAAAATTCAGGCATACTTCCGAAGCTACTACATAAGGAATAATTTTCTGAGAGAAAAAGAAGCTGTAACTAAACTACAAGCACAAGTTCGTGGATATTTTGTCAAAAAAAACTACAAAAGAAAGGAACCTGAACTCACAGTAAAGTTTTTATTTCTCAAATTAGTGATAAAGAATTGACTGATAAATTAAGTGCACAAAATTATGGTATTTCCTTTTGTATCCATAGTGACTTAAAGTAACATGAGAGAAATGCTTTTATACACTTTTCTGTTATTATAAACTTGTATTGAGCCATTAAGAAATGGTGTGATTTAAATTATTACCAGTCATATTATGAAATAATATCACACACACTTAGTAATACTAGAATATTTTATTTTTTCACAACATTTTGATAACATTTTTAAAATACTGTGGAAGAGATTTGGATTTATTATTTACTTTTGTTAATGAACTGTTTTTTTACTATTGATTTTAGATTTTGTTTTTAAAAACTATGATTCTCTATTCAAGATTAACTGAATTAAGCTTTCTAATACCATTCTGTTATTTTTAATTATTGTGAATTATATTGTAAATTACTTCATAAGAATGCTTATATAACTTTGTAAAATTGTATATTCACATATTCCTCCAATTAAAAAAAAATCAAGTACATATACTCTGTTATGGAATGACATTGTATATTGATGAGTATTGATCATCTATAATATTTAGAACCCTATAGAGATTATATTTTATGATTTTTTTCAGTGATGAAAATGTTAAAATTAGTGGTTTGTTTTCCTGAAGAAGAATAGTCAACTATTCGACAGCGCTCGAGTTTTGGGTCTTATTTGCGTTTATTACACTTTATATGTGATCCTTTGTGCTAACTCTTTTATCAAGATTAAAATCAGTAGTTATGTTTCACAGAAGTAAAATATCATATATGCATTAAAATCTAAGCTTCCAGGCATATTGGCAAAGATATAAGTTAGTGCAATGAAATAATAATACAAGCTATGCCAAAAAATTTTAGAAATAAATAAAATGACTATGAACTCCAGAGAATCTTCCAAAGTTGTATTATTTGCTCAACATTTTGGCTTTATACCTTCATCAGGAGCATAAATTTTCTATCACACACATTAATAAGTCCAAAAGTATATGCAAAATGCAAATTTGTAAAATCTTCTCCAGAGAATAAACTTAACATGGACAGCAGAAGTAAGATTCATACATCTACACATGAACAAGTAAACAAAGAATTATTCACAGTCATTATGTAAGTCTTACCAATTATTAACCAACTTATAGTTTTGTGTTGTGACTTTACTGACTGCTGGTGTTGAAAGGAGTCTTTCTATAAAATATTTCCATAAGACAAAAACAAAAAGGACTGAAATTTACTGTAAAAATTTGGACCAAACTTTAAAAGTGACGTATACCAGAATTCAACACTGGTAATGTCACTTAATATTTCAAGTGACATTTATAGGTAAGAAAATCCCTAATTCACATCAATTTGTACGAGTATCTAAACTACCCACTGAAATGGGTTTGCCTCTCTCTCCCTTCCCACAGTGGCTAAATACAGGGCCAAAGTGATATGAATTTCTAGTCACTGCCATATGCACTTTACCTGAGTGAAGGGATTAGTACGTATTTATGACCTTTCAACATTCAGTTAACAAAAATGTCATACTACATTTAGAAAAATTTACCAGCATACATTGGACTAATAACATATTTTAAACTAGTAATGGAAAGGTGAAATTCATGAGTATTTGAGTCATTAAAATAGGAAGAAGGTTGATGCAGAGTTATGAAACATTTCTGATGCATTTGTATATTCCTTTCCTGTTCACTTTTTCCTACAATGTAGCTCCTAATACACCACCAGCTATTTACCATATAACACATAAGATTATGTTAATAGAACATAAAGGAAAGATTCTTTCAACATTTACATTTTTAAATGATCAATCTAATAAAATTATAAACTTTAAATGTATTCAACACTTTCTGAAATCAATCTTACTTTCAAATATGTTAATTGAATTCCAAAGAATCTTTCTAAGAATCTATTAAGAATCTTTCTATTATGCTTCTTTTGATTTTCTTCTAAGCTTGCTAGTACCATAACTTCAAGCTCATCCTATTCCAGGACTTAAATTTCATATCAAACTCCTTATTTCACCGAAATTGTTGTATTTATTTGCAAATTATCTTTACACTCTTATTTATTACTAATTTACTTCTGCTCTGTTCATCCCTTGATCAGTAACTTTGCTAAGCTACTCTTCCAAAAGCTTCAATCTTACATATATTTTCATTCTTGACAGGGCTACTCTTAAGCTGTTTTGATCTTAGTGACTTTATTCCATTTATTTATATATGTATATTTATTTTGAACCAGAGGTTTTGTGTCTCAATTTTTACTAGGTGTAAGTTTTCTTTGTCAACTATCTACACTTTTTAATCACCTTTTTCATTTTCTATTCTTTGGGTTTTACCATAATTGTTGAGATTCAACTTATGTTTCCCTACTTTCCATCAAGGCTTTCTTCCTCCTATTACCCCAAGATATAGGCTGATACTTCTTTTTTTTCATAGCAGTTATGCAGATTTGATATACATAATTTGTGTCATGTACTGTAAATTAGACATCTCATTGTTTCCTCAATGTCAGCAAGTTGATGGTCTTTGGAATATGTTCTGTGGGTAGACTTATGGGTGCCTCTTAATACGTTTTAATTTATTTTATCTACATCATGATACTGTCTCATCTACTCTTTGGTTTCATTTACTTCAGTGATGATTTTTCAGTGTTCTTAGAAATTTCATTATGGTAAGAATCTCTCTCATATTTACTTTTATGTTTTCATTGAGTCATCTATTTGTGTTATTTTTCTTATCACATGTATCCTGTCAATGCAACTTAGCATTACCTGATTAAAGAGTTATCAGATCTATTTATCTGCATCTAGGGGTGTACTTTGTGATAAGGGCACATTTAATATCAATGAACTTTTTTAAGTGCATGTCATTTTTAATAGAATCTTCTGTTTTAGTATTTATTGCACTCTTCTTATGTTTAGAAGAGTCTGTGTTTTGTAGTGAACGATCCAGGTCTTGCCTCATTTCTTCTCTCCTTGGAACCTTGAATGAGAATGTTCATTAGCTCAAATGAGTTATACATACACAGCTTTAGTAAAATGCAGAAAATACTCACATATTTATAGGGCTATAATTAGCATCGCATAAAAAATAATTTATATCAGCACGTATAAAGTTAAAAATGCAACACCTTGATATATAAACAACCTTTTCCAATATACATCAATAAATGGATATATGTTATGGCTATTGGGTTAATATCTTATCTCAGTATGTAGGCTAGAGCACTCACTTCTAGTGAGAGGTTGAACCCAATGTACAAAAATCTGACATTGAACATGGAGGGTATCCTACAACCTTGAAATAACACCTGAGGATGGGCCTTGTTTGAGATAGAGGAAGAATGTGTTACTTTGAGATGGTAAAAAGAGTGCCTTAATAGCAATAGCTAGTGAAAGTTGAACCTTTACCTAATTCATTTAGTAGAGCACTTGCCTGATGTGTGAAATACCTTCAGTTTGAATCAATGCAAAAAAAACCAAAAAAGATTAGAAGTCTAATGCTCTACTGACTTAGCTAGAGGTTAAACCACTACCTATTGCTATAGAATACTTTCTTAACTCAAATTGGCACATAAGCTTATAAATATTGTTTAAATGCAGATTACACTTTATATATGCACAAGAAAAACAACAACCTTTAATTACATGAAATACATTTAAACCTTCAGTGCAATGCATTTCAGCTATCATAACATTTTAAGGGATTAGGTTGTCATGCTTATTGCACCTCATGAGTTAATTAATTTTTAAAGCAGGGTTTTAAAAGTAGCTATAAATTGACCTGGGTTTATATTATGCTTATGTTAAAGCCATGGGCACAAGCCTACTGAAGTGATCAAAAAATTTAGAACTCATTCAATGACCCCCATTCTCTAGTACTTGAAATATATATAACAGACACTAACCTGCAAAATCATAAAACTGGAAGGAAACATTTCAGAACATATCCCATACTGCTTTAAATGAACAGTACTTCACTCAGCCCTGTGCTTGATTCTTGATAACAGTTGAGTTATTATTTTATTTACTGCATATTAGGAACATGCTAGATTTTTAATGAAGAAAGATGGTTGATACATCCCAAAGTAAGCTAAATTTTTAAAACATTATCTGCTCAGGGTACTCAATTAGTCACTAAGTCTGATATAAACTTGTTAATCAGAAGTTGCTATATTAGTGATATTGTGAATAATTTTTTCATCTTTTCTAATCATTAAGTACTATTTTTTCTCCAAGAGCAGTTAATACAGAGTTTCTTTAAGAAATAATAAAATACAAAGGAATTTAAGCCAATGTAAAAGTCTCAAAATAAAATATTGTTTTAAGAGTTAAAATGAAAAAAAAACTTGAGATTTAGGACCTTTTATTTTATAAAACTTCTTATGTGAACAATTAACTACATGAAAGTACTAAACTTAACTTTTATGTAGGAAAGAGGTATTATGTATTTAGTATCAGTAAAAAAAGAGGTCTCGTTTTGATATGTATTCATATTTTAGATTAATCATCTTTTTATCTTACAATAAAACTTGCATACAACTTCTGCAAATTTCATATTTGTGTGATTAAGATTATTCATTTCAATCATGAATAACTTAAAAATATACTGAATTTTCTTTCTTATCCCATAACTAATTTGGTAATTTGTACCTGAACCTCAGTAGTGCTGAGTTCATTATATTAATTCACTCTGTACACCCTTGATCATTTTAACCAATTTTTCAACCACCATGTAACCATGAAACTATACATAATATAACTTTTAATGTAATTTTAATTACCTTTGGCAAGCTTTTAGTAAAATTTACAAATGTTTTGTACACAGAAATCAGATTTTTTTAATTAAGTACTTTTACAAAAAAATTGTCTGTGAATTTATGGAGTCAGTCTAACTCAGGCACTGTACAAGGTTATTTTTTAATGCAGCTATAAGTCGACCTGTGTTTATATTATGTTTATGTTAAAACCACAGGTACAAACCTACTGAAGTGATCAAACAATTTAAAACTTATTCAATTACCTCCATTATCCAGTACTTGAAATATTCATAACAGACGCTAACCTCCAAAATCTTAAAACTGTGAGGAAACATTTTAGGTCATATCCCATAATGCTTTAAATGAACAGTACATTACTCAGCCCTGTGCTCATTTTTTTTAAGAAATTGTATTTCCTGAACAAAGCAACGTTTAACTTCCAGAATCTCCTAAATGAATATCAAAAGTTTTTCAGTAAAACTTTATATTTTTTGTTATTTTCTCCACACATTTTTTGAAAGACAGCATATAACAGGAGGGCATGGCCTGTGGGTTTGACTGGAGTATATACTGTTCAGGTTATGTCTCAGCAATATCTGAACTATAAATGTGTAAATGTGTAAATTGTTATAATATTTTGAAATGAAAGTTCATGATATTTTGTAAAAATATGAATAACTTTGAACAAAGGAAAATAATTAATTAGAAAGGTTTTATATGTTTATAGTTGATTCACATTTTTTAATTCTGTCTATCTAATCTGTTCTAAAGACAAATTCTGATAGAGTAATTATTCTTATTTCTTACATATTTCAGGGGTTTAGCTATAAAAAAATCCCTCTTGATGATCTCTCTGTACATGTTTTGATTCACCATTGTGAATCAGTCCTTTTCGGTCATCATCACACCAATGAAATCAAAGATCAGAAAATGAGTTTACCTTCATGTAATGGTGCTTTACAGGAAACTAATTCTCCAGTTATACTTTTATTGGGAGGAATAAATCTTAACATTTCAAAGATAGAAGAAACAGGTATTAATTAGTTTCAGTGGTGGAAAAATACAAAGAAACAATAGGTGCAGGTGTGGTTTCTATAACAAATATATGTTGTGTTCTTCATGTACATTGAAGTTTTGTAGTTAAATCATATTTAGCCACAGTATTGGTATGGCAAATAATATTATTTTTGCAAAATCAATGGGAATGTTATTCATCTGACATAAGAGTGGGTTAACTTGTGTGAATTTTGTAAAATAAATGAATTATTAAATGATGGGAAATGTTGTATTAATTATATCTGGAAAACTTTCAGCTAATAACATATTACTAGGAAATTGCAGGTAAAATAACATTTATGATAATCTATTCTTCATCAAAATGGAAATTTTTGAGATTTAGACTATATATTTTAAATTGTTTTTTCATTTATTATATATTTTAGCTCAGAGACTTTTAGAAGCCAGTGAATATAATCTATTTTGAGATCTAGGATTTTTATGTAACCAGTATTTTGGAGCTAATATATTAGAAAGAAAAAAAAATTAATGCCAACAGAATGAATGAGCTAGGTTTTGTGTTAAGATAGATTACTATATTTGTTGTATATTTGATTTGATTTTAAGTATTGAAATTATTAAATTTTTGAAGGAAATAAAATTGTATTAAGCATTATTTCTTGATATTTTACTCTCAGAATTTATATGATGATCTCTACCCACATTTTTTATAATGCCATCCATTTTTATTGTATTGTACTATGAATTTCAGCTTACCTTTCTAACAAAATATTACAAATTCTTTTAAGCATAAGAATAACTGTTTATTGGGTAACTTCAGGAGATAGAATACTTCGATACTTGCCAATGGATGATAAGTGGGAGGATTGTGGATGCTTACCTGAAGCTCGACATCATCATGTTGCTGTTCTATATAATAGATCTGTATATATTATAGGTAAGTTGTATTACAAGTATTTTAATGCATGTTAGGCGTACACAAAAAATGTTACAAGAAATGTAGAAAAGAGCAATAATAGATAATTTCTGTTATGGTATCATTACCTCCTCTCCAATAAATAGCTATTCTCATTCAGTGCTGCCCTATATATGCAAGCAATTTTTTCGCATACCTTACAATAAATTTATTGAAATGCATCTAACATGTAAATCATCATGTGGCAACCCTCCACCAATAAAAGTGCAACACACTCTCTTGATGCATGTGACTCCCTCTATTCGATTCTACTGAACTATTACTTCTTGTTTGGCAGTACTTGTGTCAAGACTTTTTTTGTTGTGCTCTTCAAATTTGTTCAACTTTGTGTTGTTTTTTTTTTTGTTATTATTCTGAAATGGATTTTTTGTTTTTCAACAGTTAACAACTTTTCAGCTAACTTATTTTCCTAGTTTTTCATTTTTTTACTTTCATCAAACAATTGTGTTTGATTTTAATTTTTACACAAGGAATTCCAAAGTTCAAGTTACTACTTAGAGATCATACATTCTACTAGCATACTCACACATGATACAAGTGGAGAAGACTCGTCTTTCAATTTCAAACTTGATAAAGAGGAACCCACTTTTTAGAAAATCAAAGTTTTGAGATGGCTTGATAGCTAAACAAAGAACCTAACATTAATAAAAGAAGCTATCTTAATTGAAGACAACAGCCCCACCTTAAATCAACACCCTGGGGTACCAAGATAACTATAGTAGACTGTGAAGCAATATCCTTTTTGTTCTATACTTCATATATATATATATATATAGATACTCATGTATCTCTGTAAAGTACTTGTACCTGAGGAGGACAAAATATTGTCAAAATGTCGTACATTTATAATAATGTTTTTCATTACCCATTCAAGCCATTTCAAAACTTTTATCATCTTTGGATTTATTGGCTATCATCCACCATGAGATTGATTGTTATATGAATCAACCTGCTTCTCCCGATCTTGCCTTTATTCCTCCTGAACAGCCCATGAGGATTTTGACAGCCTTTTTCCTCAACCTGATTTTGCCATATCTTCCTATGCCCCTACTTATGGCTTTTTTTAGACATGATTTCACAGGTATGTTCTGATTTAGCCATTTCCCCAATTTCGTATGATCCCCATCCTTCTTTGTTACATGATACCTCCTCCTCTCAGTATTTGGTTTTCCCCGGATATTAGGGTTCATGCTTAGTATTTTGTTTCTCAGATGGTAGAGTGTGTCGGCATGCCTTGCTCTCCATGGGCTTCAGATCAGTTTGCCTTGGCTTACCTTCAGGCTGAATGTTCATTTCTCGATTCTCAACAGTTAAAATCAATTTTGCATGGATGACACTGATCATCCTGTTTGTTTATCCCACGCCCAATTTTCCCACCCATGTCTTACCTTATCAACTCTCCTACAGTTCTTGTCTACTATCCACCTACTTTCTGAAGCAATCCACAGAGTTCCTGAGGGTTTTGCGAGGGATTATCCCTCCCTGATTACCTTCATGTTAGTACATTTATCTTTTTCGGCTCTAGCCTTACACACGTGGTTTCTCTGTTGTTGGGATCTCCTGGGGAGGGACGCAGCTTTGAACTAGGTTTCCTTACCACCTTCTTATCTCCAGGACTTATGTATGACCCCTTTTATTCAAAGGTATGCTTTTAGTAATATTTACAGTACTTTGGAATCCCGTGTAGAATTAGTGCAACTGCAAACTACCCTTTCTTCTTTGGTGGATTATTTGTCACATTCTGAGCCTAGACAAGCCCCTATTACTGTTTCTCGTCTAGCTCCTTTTCAGCCCTTACCTGTTCCTCCCTCTAGAGGTTCCGCATCTTTTATTTGATGCAGATGGACACGTTGCCAACAGTACCAGTGACTACCTGGTGGGTTCTGGTCCAATGAGGGCTCATATGTCTGATTTTGTTCCCCTTTGGTGACTTTTTGTCACAGATCTGTGGGTTATTCAGGTTTTATCTGAGGGATTTATCTTCCAATTTCTTTCCCCTCGTCCATTATCTCGGATACACATTTCCTTTGTATTGCCTCGGGACCCTACCATCAGTCAGCATCTATCCAAGATGGTACACTATCTTCTCAACCCCGATTTATCATGTGGGCTTTTTCTCCGGGTTTGTGAATGACCAAGGTAGACGTCGTGAATGCTTACCTGCATATCCCAATATCTGATCAATTGAGATCCTATCTTTGGTTCGTTCATCACAGGGTAGTTGATCAATTTCATGCTCTGCCCTTTGGGTTTGCTTTGGCCCCATATGTCTTATATGTGGTGGTCAAGGCATTTGCTCAACATTTACATGCTCAAGGGTTGTGTTTCCATCATTACCTAGACAAACTGGCTTCTGTTAGCTCATTCCGAACAGGAGTCTGCCCATCACACTCATCTGTTGCTCCTGGAAGCAGCTCATGTGGGCTGGTTAGTCAAATTGGAGAAGTTATTCCTTATACCTTGGGCCTTGGATCTCCTTTTGTTTAGGGCCCACATGCTCGGTATTTGTATAATTGCATGTCACGTTTCAGGTGCATTCAATCTTGTTGCAAATCATCTTTCCCATCCTGACAAAGTTTATCTGATGGAGTGGTCTCTATATTCTCTTATTTTCCAGTGGTTATGCCTTCAGTGGGGTACTCCACACATGAATGTTTTTGCCACATCCCTCAATACCAAATTGCCTCTGTTTTGGTCACTGGTTCCTCAGCCTTTTGCTCTGTCTGTCAATGCTTTTAATCAAGATTGGACCAACAAATACCAGTATGTTTATCCTCCCATCCGTCTTCTTCACATGGTGATCTCGATAATCCATGCCACTCCGTGTCAAGTCCTTCTGATTGCTCCTTACTGGCCTGCTCAACCATGGTTCCTGTGGCTGCTCCAGCTCCACTCTGCTCCTCCATTACTTCTTCCTCTTACTCCATCTCTTCTACATCAGTCTCGGTCACTAGCATTTTATCCAGCTATTCATATCCTCCATCTTCATACCTGGTTGTTATCCAATCCTTGGTAAGGAGATCCAGTTTGTCCTGGCAGGTTGCTTCTTTTTTTTAGCTTGTTCAATTCACACTTCCTCTAGGGATGTTTATCAACGTAAGTGGAATTTTTTCTGTCAATGGTATTTGGGTCAGGGGTTTTCACTCACTAGACTCACTGTTCCTCATATTATGGATTTCCTCACTTGGCTGTTTGATCAGGGGTCTTCTGTCTTCTTGATCGAGTTATCCAGTTGCCTTATCCCACACTTTTAGTTTTTCCAGGTACTGTAAAGTTTTTACCTTTCCTACCAGTTCCCTCTTGTTGCATTCCTTCTGGATTAGTTGTCCACTTTGACATGATGTTCTTCTGGATTGTGATGTTAATGTTGTTCTTCACTGCCTTACTTTACCTCCATTTGAACCATTGTCCTCTTGCTCAGTTTTTCACTTATCCTTTAAGACTTATTTCCTTCTCCTCTTAGTATGTAGATATTTTAGGTCAGATTTATTTGCCATTGATGTTTCATGTACCCTATGTCATTCCACATATATTCTCCTTTATGTGGATTTATCTTTTCTTCCCAAATTTAAGCAGCTTGTGAGAGTAATTCCTTCTTCTTGCCGATTTCCCTTCCTTTCATTTCCCACCTATATCCTCGCTCAGATAAAGAAAGGCTACTATGACCTGTCCATGCTCTTTGTTGTTATGTTGCCTGCATGCCTTCTTTCCATGGTGCCTGTTCCTGCCTATTCATTCTTTGGCAGCCATTCTCTGTTCTCGACCTTTCTCCTTCCTCCATGACCAATTGGATTTGGCTTTTAATTTGATTGGCTTATTCATCCTTATCATCTTCTTCCCATAATTTGTTCCAGGTGTCTTCTCATCAGATCAGTCACCTTATCTTTTCCCTAATGTCTCATCTCTGTCATCCCTTAGAGAAAATTCTTCAGTTGGGCATGTGGACTACTCCACATAGGTTCATATCTCACTATCTGCATCCGATTGCTGTATCTTCATTTTCATGTTATCATCTTCCACCTGTAGCCAATCTTGAGGTATGCTTCTCATAGTCAAATCTGCACTGTCAGGCCATGTTTACTGTTTATTTCTTATTTCCATGGCCATAAAACACTCACTGTCGAGATGGCATCAAAATAATGGACTTATTCTTCCTAATATATTTACTAAGTAATACTACTATATATAAAATAGTAGTAGTATTTAGTAAGTAGGTTGAATAGTTAAACATATGTACAACAAATACTTTACACTATGGAGATTATAGGAATATCATAAACACTATATATAAATATATATATATATTCTTTTCTTATTGTTAAATAAAAGTCCTCTTAGACCTATTCAACTGCTTTAGAATTTCAACTGACAAGCCAAACTACCTTTCTCTATTTCTATTGCACTAGTATTGCATGTATAATTCGCTTACAATTGTAGCATGAGTTACCACAATCATATACAGCTCTTCCAGTAATCGTCTGGTCCTTGTACTTCAGATATCATCTATTCCTTTTATTCAAGTGCACTCATGCTGGTTCAATTACTTCAGAACTCACTTTGATAGAATAAACCATACTTTTTGTCTCTTTTCAAACTGTTCATTTTCCTCTAACATATTAATCGTTAGGCCTTTCACTCCTATGGCAGTTAACTTTAAATTTAATTTTCCTTGGCCAAATTTCTACTTCCTGTGATTATACTTTCTCATCTACTCTGACTGCTGTTCTTACTCATCTCACACTATTTATATATTTATCACTTAATCATCTGCTCGCCTTCTAGAAATCTCTATATACTTGACATCAGTAAATTTCACGTGACATTTGATAACCTCAATATCAGGGAGTTATAAACAGAACTTCCAATAATTGTCTGCTTTTAACTCTTATTATAAAAAACAACATCTAAACAATCATGAAATACTAATTCACAAACTAATTAATTAATACTACCTACACTGAACAGTCTTTTGTATCATGACAGATGGGTTGTTCCACAAGATCGATTGTAGGTTTGTCTTCACCGTATGTTTGCTTCAGTAATATGCCCATTCTGGACCATACTCATCCATGAATTTCATGGGTAAAGCAGAAGACGATAGCTGTCTATCTCTGCCATGCCTTAGACTGAATAAAGCAGGTATGGTTTGCTTTTCAAAATAGGGTTTTTGTGGTCACCTGTTGCACTGTCTCTGGTGTTGTCATTCCTCCAGAGTCTCCACTGCATTTTCTTCTCCAATTTATTTCAGTGGAGTATGGGAGTCCATGGTGGAAATTTTTCAGTTGGGCATACATTCATATCTCATTATCTGCATTTGATTGCTGTATCTTCATCTTTGTGTTATCGTCTTCCACTGTGACTGGGTAAGTTATCTTTTTATAAATAAATATATATATATATATATCTTCTTTTTCCAGGGAGTATGGGAATTCCTACTATTTTCCAATTCCAAGCTGCTGGGGTGGTGGACCATGGAGACATCCACCTGAATGTGATAATGATAAAGTATATATGTAATTATCAAATCATTCAGTTGTGAGTAGCATGGTGGTGTTCTGCTTGTGTAGATGATGAAATGTCCTCCAATCTGATGCTTCATGTTTGTACAGAGTTATCCAAGGAGATGTGGTTGCTTTGGAGTGAGCCATCAAAATAGCAATTCACTCTTTTGATTGGAATCCCTCATCTTAACCCCATGTGGATGTCGGTTCCCAATAGCTGGGTTTTGGATTCAGAACTGAACCAATCAACATAAGTACTCACACATGTATTACAGGTGTCTCAGTTTCCTCACTCAATTATATTATTGTTCCTCCATCCGTGTTGTGGGTCACAATAGAGGTACTTGCAGATTAATGTGGTTCTTCCTCTCATGCTGTCCCTCAATGATTTTATTATACTGCGGATGTTATTGCACAATGGGCAGTTCCTGTCGGTTTGGTTTTGAGTAAGATAATTTACATTACAAAGACATCTTTACAATACCAATCGTCTGGATGTCAGGTTCCCAGATCGGTCAATCAATTTTTCACATTGCTATCATGTGTCCTGTTCATAGATCGGAGGGGGTACAAGATTCCCTCCAGTCTGCTGAACTTGAGATGAATACGGTATGATCCTCTTCCCCACCCCTACCAGATGGCTGGATTGGATTGTAGTTGACTTACCGATGGTATGATCCTCATCCTAACCCCATGTGGATGTTGGTTCCTGGTGGCTTGGTTTTGGATGCATTTGGCTTGCCATGTACAGTCCTTTGCGTTCTAGCCATTCTACACCTAGGGGAACATCCTTTTACTTTCACCCACTTTCCAGTACTCTCTGGGGTTGAGATTTGTTATGTAGTTGTTCAGATCCTTATCCCACCATTGTTCTCTCCCGTAAGGATGTGCTCCTTCCTTTTTTCCACCCATATCTGCGACACCTCATTCCAAACTGGGCAAAGAATATACCTTGTACAGATGTGGTGCAGTCTCCTCAAAAATGTCTGAAGAATGCTGCTTTATTTTCCCCTTGCACTGGTCCCTCCACCTATTCATTGTGGTATTCTAGAAGAGGTACCCTATTGGAAGTTATAATTTTCCTGTACTGAAAATATATTTCCAATAGGCACTTACCTCCTGTCACACTTCCCATCCTTCCTCCCCACTGAAAACTGGTGTTTCCATTTTCTACCAAAACTGGATGTGATAGTTTGGTTAGAATCGAATAGAGGGATTCACATGTGTCAAAAGAGTGTGGAGGGTTGTTGCATGATGACTTACATGCTAGACACATTTGAATCAATTAATTGTAAGGTACATGGGAGCTCAAGGCTTATGGCATGCAAAAAAAAAATTGCTTATAGAGGGCAGCACTGAATGAGAATACTTATCAGAAATATATTTTCAGTATAGGAAAATTATAACTTTAAAAGCATTATTCCAAAAATTTTTAATCCTTAACCTACTCAGCATTATTAAGACATATTCTCACATTAACAAACTGCAGAAAAAATTGAAATATTTGTCTTAATTAGCTCCTCAAACTCTTAAGATAATTTTCTGATTTAGTACAATGCTTTCTTCTCAAATCTCACTGCAGTTCATAGTTGAAGGCAAAAAGAATGTAATTTAAAAAAAAATTGGGATCAAAGATCAGGAAGCTATAGCTTTTTTGACAACTAGTTAAGTTTAATTTGCTGCCTTTATGGGAAAGAGTGAAACTCACCTTATTTTCAATCTACCCAAACAGCATTTTATGTAATTTCAGTCATGTTAAATTTTGATAAAGCATTATAGAAATGTCAAACAATAAGCAGTTTCATAGACATCCTAATTAAGTCAAAACCAGACAAATGTAAATCACTGATAAGACATGTACATAATGTAACATCTTAAGTTGTACTTCAATAGTAAATACAGAAGAAAATAGCAATCATTTCAGAGATATATAATGGTCCATAAACAAAGATATACGAGACAGTGAAAACTTTAAAATATATTTGTACTTACTGTTTACTCTACACTCCTTAAAAATCCCATACATACAAAGTGAGTTCTATAATGAAAGATAAATAAGAATAATAAAATATACTCTTAAAAAATAGGTTATATAAATATAAAGTAAAAACATACAAATGATGTGCACCATTTATGCTTTTAATCTTGTCTTCCTCTCCATAAGATATATAGTTAAACCAATGATAGAACCTTCCTTTTTTTCCTTCAAGGATCTATTGTTTTATTCTATGATGTTTTCACATGAAGACACAATCAATGAAAATGTGTGAGCTGCCATAGGTCTAAAGTAGTCCGTTTTATCAGTACCTTCACAAGAAATAGTTCTAAAATAGATATGATATATTTAATGTACTGAAACAGAAAATCCACTAACTGCCTAACAGATAATATCTTTCCAATATCTGTATATATATATATATATATATATATAAGTAGATCTGGTGGTTAGGGTGCTCAACTCTCAATCTGTGGGCCATGAGTTTAAATCCCTATCACTGAACATGCTTGCCCTTTCAGCCAGGGGTGGTGTTATAATGTGTTGTTCAATCCCTTTATTTGTTGTTAAAGAGTAGCCAAAGAGTTGACTGTGGATGGTGTTGACTAGCTGCTCTACCTCTAGTCTATCACTGCTAAATTAGAGACTGGTATTGCAGATAGCCTTTGAGTAGCTTTGTGCTATATTCCAAACAAACCAACCTGTATATAAGTATATCGAATTAAATTCATTTCAAGAAACATATTATGTCAATAATAGAAATGCAAAAGGAGCAATCAACCTTAAAATTTTAAAATGCTGAATTTTGGTAATGTATGTCCATAAGAAATATTTATATTAGATTAGAAGATGAAATTCGTGTAATTATTTATAAAAGTGTAAGCTGCAAATTTGTAAATTGTGTAATTAGATAAGGATACCTTGAACATTATATAATAAAACATCTATAATTTAAATATATCAACACATTATTCATTCTGAAAATAAACTTAATGACTTAGCTTTTTTGAAAAACATACAGGCTTAAAAATAAAGTTGTAATCTATCATTGTTTGAAATTTATGAAAGTCTAAAATATGGATTATCAATTATTTTGGATAAATGAGGTTTGAATAGTTAGGTTTGTTACAATGGCAAAATATGCTAAATTATTCTAGTTTAAGAGCTTCCATTCCTGAATAAAATATATATTTTTAGGTGGTTATGACCCACAAGAAACAGCAAGAGGAAAGCCATTAGCAAAAAAAACCTGTTTCAGGTACAAATTAGATACTTGTGAGTGGCAAAAAATGGCTGACATGAATTGTGCCCGTGTTTATCATGGAGCTGTAATACTAGCAGGATTTCTTTATGTGATAGGAGGAAAAGATGAAGAAGATAGGTAGGAGTAACTCAAGTCATCTCTTTATTTTTTTGTTTAATATGATAGAGAAATCATACTGAATTTTTACATAAAGTAGCAGTAGTATTTTAAAAAATTAATGTACAATAAATTTCAAGTTGACATATTACAACAAAACGTTCTTTTTCATTATTGTACAAAACACAGCACAATAAGTAGTACATATTAAAGCAGAAAACGGGTTAATAAAACTATGTATAGACAATAATTATAACTTAGGAACAGCTAGCACAGAAAAGCTTGGGTAACCTTGTATAAATGTCTGAAACAAATTAAATTGTTTTAAAAAACCTTTTGCTGGAGAATTCATATCACTTTATTTTATATTTTTTAACCTGATGGGAAGGGATATTGCATATATATATTATATTTTAACATTTCACCAGTTTCTAATCAATAACATTTTACGCTATGTTACTTGTGGTATTTTGAGACACAGTATATAGATCACACAGGTAGTTGACCAATGTAGTAACAAAAAGTTTGGGGATTTGACTGGTAAAATGGAATATGATTGGTTTCTTTCCATTTAAATGAAAGAGGCTATATTACTTTGCACAAAAAACAAATACATCTTATCTTCACTAATGGACAATATTAAAATAAACTAGAAAGTCAGTTAATGAACAATAGACAGAAGACACAGCATGTATCTGTTTTGATTCTCTAGAAGATGAAACAGATTTCTGGAGTTGCCAAAACTGCTGTCATGATCCACATACTCTCTCTCTGTTGCAAATAAATCTCAAAATTGGGTCATGGGTATCCAGAAGTAACTGATCCATGTGACATCTATAAAGAAACCCCATGCGTATAGGGTAATGTAGGAGGAAATACAATTATTTCATGAAATCATTTATAGATCCTTTGTCCAATCCAGCTGCAGAAGGTAATACCTGGGGTCGATTTGGCTCATGATATGCATCAAATTTTCCATATTCTAAATTAAAACTTTAGAGAATAATTTGAATTCTATATTAGGATAAATATATACCATGAGAGAATGAGATATTTGGTATCTTCCTACCACAAACTCACTGTCTGAATCATTTTAATGATGAAAAACAATTTTTATAGTTGAATTTATTATCAAAACCTTTACCTGTAATATTGTATCATAAATCAGTTTTCTCCTATTCTTTTGTTTTTGTTAATAGTACATATTCCTGTCTAAATTGTGTATTTCAAAAAGTTTGGATTAGTACTGAACATAATCAATCTTATTGTTAAGAATTATGATTTAAAACATTATTTTCATATCATTCAGAGTCAAATATATATTTTCATGATGTGTTTTTTATCATTTCTGTTCTTAGTTCCTACACCTAACACTGTATCTTAAAATAAACATTGTCATTATTTATGTATTTAATTATTTTAATTCTTAGTTCTATAGATCTGATTCTGTGTATCTGTTATTTTCAAATAAATCTTGTATTTTATAATCTGTAGTTTTAAAGGGAGAGTAACTCATTGATTTAGTTTCAACTTGCTAAATTTTTATTGATAGAATTTCTTTGCAATGAATACTTTTTGATTTTATAGTGGTTGAAATAACTTATTCTATCTATTAAAACTATTCTCTCAAAAGGAATAAATGTAATTTTATCCTCTTTTTTTGTGTTTTTTAAGTATGAATTTTAAATCAGGTAGACTCACCTGTGAAATACTAAAAGCCTTTTCTTATTGAGTTGATTTTGTTTTATTCTAGATGTATGTGCCAGTGTGTGTCTCTTCTGAACCCATATTTATTCTAGTTGATTTTGCCAATGTGGTATTCTGAACCCATATTTGCATAAAAGTATAACCTATATAGTTTTGTTGCTCATTTACAGGATGTAGCCTGTTTATAAAGGTAACCTTCCCTCTGACTTGTCCTCTGATTTTAAACTTTAATAATAAAAAACAAACCTCTTTAATTAATGGAGCCTCTAAATTAGCAAACAATTAATATTTTTAAAAATTTTGTAGTTGTACATTTCATTTTATACTTTTGGCACATAGCCTTTTAACAACAATATTAGGTTATACTTTTATTGCTAAGTAACATGATAGAAAAGCCATTGTTGGAACAATGCACTGGCCAAAATGCACTGGCTTTTCTATACATTAGAAGTTGTTATATAAGGAACCACTTCTTTTCAATGTAGTTTTTCACTAGATTGCCTCATCAAAAAGATGCACACACATGTATGTGTGTATCCTTCTGTTTGTGATTTATATCTATAATTTGTAATATAAGAAACTACTTATTTTCTATGTGGTTTTTTGCTAGCTTGCCTCATTAAAAAGATGTGCAAGCACACACGCATGTGGATAAATAATAATAATACCCTGATGTAGACCCTCAGGGTTCACTTAGTATGGGTTCAAAATTTCAGATTTCTATGTTCTTTGCTCCTAGAGCTATGGCAGTTATATTTCTTTTCTATGTGCTTTTTCACCAACTTACCTCACAAAAAGTTGTGCACACATGCAGATAAATAATAATACCAAGGTGCACACCCTCAAGGCCCATTTAGTATGGTGCAAAATTTCAGGTTTCTAGGTTCTTTCCTTTTGGAGTTATGGCAGTCACAGACCCACCCTTTTATTATTATAGATTAGCTATTCTCATTCTTATGATTCTTCTAGTCAGGATCAAATTTTTATCTTGCAATCTTCCTTTGCTACAATTCTCATGGATTTAACTTATGTTGCCCTTGGCTGTTATGCTCCTTTGATGCCTCAGCTCATTGCACTTTCTTAGAAGGTACTCTTCTTACCTCTACCTTTTCAATGGACTTTCAAAGAACTTCTTTCCTGCATCAGTTGTCATTGTAGAGTTTCAACAACATTATTCTTTCATTCAGAGAAGCATGCCAGTTGAAGCTGATTAGTATTTTAGGATTTAAACTTACTTCTGACAGTCATTTTTTTAGACAAATATTGTATAATATTAGTCCTCCTATCTTGCCCCCCCCCCCCACATTTTGTCTGCTAAGCAGATATCATCTACTTGTACTTATTCTTTTGTAGGCCCTTCCTGGTGGCCAAATGTGGACATAAGCAAGTGGCTCTTCTGGTATGGGCAAATTTCCCATCTGGACTGTTGGAGGAATTGCCTCAGATCATTGGTTCTTCAATGGAATCCTTGGATTTTATAGGTCCTTCACTGGTCTTAATACCTTTCTTCCAATCCAGTCACTTACACATTCTGGATCAGGAATTCTCAAATCTCTTTCAAAAATTAGAAGTCAGAGTCATTTATCACATTTTCAGGTTCTCACTACCTTTTCTTTCTGGAGAAATCAGGAGATTTAAAACGTCATAGACCTGTTTCAACTCATCTTTTTCTAGAGACTCCTCATTTTCAACTGGAAAAGCTTGATGTTCTTATGTAAGTCTCCTTGTCACAGCCTTTGTATTGATGGATATACAAAATGTCTTTCTTCCTATCCACATTCATCTTGTCAACTTCTTTTTTTTTTTTTTCCCATTGCATGGTACTTTATTGTGTCATTGCTTGACCTTTGACTCTATATGTTTTCTGTCAGTTAGCCTAGTTCTATTGGCCTTATCCAATTAATCAACATCAGGTTTTATTTTTACGTTGATTATTTGGTTATTTTGACACTTTCTTCCATTCATTTGTTAGACATATTCATTGTACCACGTAATTAGCTACATCTGTTGGAAAGACATTCATAACTTCCACTTACTACCAAAAGAGCATTTGGTACATCTGAGACTTTAGATCAACAAAGTTTAAAGAACACTTCAGTATCTCCTATGGCATTGCAAGCCATTGAGTCTTGTGCACCTATCACTAAAGACATCCTTTCCACTTTGAGGACATTTGCTTCAGTTAATATTGTCATTCTCTTGGGGGTGCACTCACATGTGACACCTGTACATTTCAGTGGCATATGACTTCAGATCTGTTTTTGTGAAGAATGACTTTCTTCCATTTCTCATGTTTTGGTTGGACCAAGAGTTTATTTCAACAGGATCATCTTTTCTTCCTCTTCATGTAGATTGTAATTTTTGTAGATTTTTTTCACAAGTTCATTCCTCTCAGTTTAGGTGTTGTATTGGAAAATCAGCATTATTCTAGGTTGGACTATTGCATTAACCTGTTAGAAGTCTGAGCTTGTGTTGAGTAGTGTCCCTTTACACCAATATTTTGTGTTTGTTCATCTAGATAATTTTACATTGGTAACTTACAAAAACATTTTGTGTAGTACTTAATTTCATAGCCATTGCTCTGCTGTAGTATCTCTACTTCTTTAAGTTCATTCTTATTGTGTTTACTTTTAAACCTGTTATGCAACTGGTGTGGTGATCATTTTAGCAGACTCTCTTTCTTAGGATTATCAGTTTCTACACACAAAGAGGACTTTTTCCCCTTTATTGTTTCAGTGGCTTTGTGAATCTCAAGGTCATCTGATGATCAACGCTTTCACAATGTTGAATAATCATCTGGTCTTCTGTTCCATATCAAAATTTTCTGGATGTAGATGCTCTTAGTCATTATTGGAAAAACCTCTTCTTTTTGCCTATTCACCTCTTGTCTTCTTTTACAGTTGCCTACCCAGATCAGTAATGCAAAGTGTCAAACTCTTCTCATCACTTCACTTTGGCCAGTTTAGCCATGGTTTCCCCTTCTATATCAAGTGTCTCATAGGGAACTGGTTCTATTACCACTTTGAGAACCTCTTCTTTGGTCCCCATATATATATATACATTTCTTATTAATGGGTGTTTAGGGGAAGGAAGTTCCCTGCAAAGAAGAATACTGCCTTTCTGAGTGTTCTCAATTTGGACCGATCTTCTTAAGGCTTTGTACTCCTCTCAATTCTCTAATGATTCCAGACTATGGACCTTTACTTTGGTTCAGAATTCTACTTAAAGTCTTCTTGATTTTTGTGGTCTATGTTGTTACCTTCCTGCCTAAGAGCTTTATTTTTGGAGAACCAATGTTTCTTTTGACACTCTCTGGTTTCCTCTTCCATTTCATTGTGGGTATCCTAGCTTTTGGTATTTCAGAGATAAGTCTACCTGATTTGAATTTAAAATTTTTAGAATTAGAATTAATTTCAAACAAATATTTACCTTTGAAATACGCTCCCAGCCACCTCTCTACAATCAAGAGGAACAGATTATATCAATTAATGCTCAACTATTTAATTAGCTTCTTAGCAGTCATACAAGAGACTGATTCAATTAATCCTCTATACTTAATGTGAAATTTCATATGATTGAAAATTTTTATGTTATTTGTATTTCTAATGTCTTAGAAAAATAATTATTTTGTTGGAATAACAGTGCATTTTTCTTTTTTCATTTTTAGATTGCTTTCTTCTGTAGAATTGTACAACTCTGACATTGATACTTGGAGTCAGCTGGACACAGTCTTGAATTTTCCACGTATGGCTATGGGAGTAGCTGTCCACAGAGATCAATTGTGGATTTCTGGTGGAATTGCTCAAAAATATGAAGAAAAATGGATATACGATATTTCTAATGTCGATAGATTTGTTCCAAAGCATAATAAGTAAGTCAAATAAAAAATTGTTTAATTTTGTTCCACCATATACTTTTTTTTTTGTTAAAATTTCAAGTTTGTGTGTGAAGCCTTAAAATATTTAACTTGTTTTCCTTCCCATTTCATAAAATAGTTATAATTAGTTAAGTGGACTGTGTACTGGGTATACCAGCTGAAGTTCATTCTGGTGTATTATAATAGAAATATATTTATGTTTTAATGGTGTGTTATGATAATGTGGTATTCAGATACATAGATGTCAAATGGGAAAACCCAAAAGTTTCCATAAAAATGCAAATTCGGGATTTTTAAGGGAAGAATAAATTACACATGGAAAGCTAAAGAAAATAAGTGAATAAACAAACAATATACTTATTCACAAAAGTAACTATGATATACCAAACAGCTGGTCAGCTTCCGATCTGTGTGACTATTGTTTAGCTGCTTGGGCTGAGCACAAGAAAGTCAGCTGCAAGAGAAAAACAAGTGGAAATTCTCCACTTTTCTATTCAGGCCAAAGCCTTAGTAAGATATCCCACAAGTCAATAGGTTACATACATTTAAAAGTTTCCACAACCAGTCATACAGATTTCTGTATTACCTATTTGAATAGGCCACCTTTCTGAAATCAATACAGAAATGCATACACATACATGTCAGCTTAAGATGTAAAACCAAATGACAGAATATGTATCTTCTTTTAGTATTTGATGATTTATCATTTGTTGGTGTTTATTTATGTAGATGGTCATCTGATGTAGCATATCTTCCTTCACCTAGAAGTTTTGTCAGTATGGTTGAGTCAAAAGGTTCATTATATGTTTTGGGTGGTGGTACATTGAGGGAACAATACACTGATGATAACAATCTTAGTAGCACTGCTGAAGTTTTTATGTACATTGACGATGCCAATCAGTGGATTAGTTATGCACCCTTCTCATCTCCTCATTGTGGTGTTGCAGTATCAATTCTTGGTGAGCTTAATTTTTTTTTATTAACATTTCTTTTTGGGTGAAAGAAAGTAAATACTTATCTAAAATATAAAAAAGGTATAGGTAACATAAAGAATTGTATTAATCAAAAAATTATATTTTTGATTAAGGTTTAAAACCTGACATTTTTATCTGACCTAAATATAAGAAGTGTATTTGTAGTTAGATCTAATATATAAGCAACTTTCTTAAAAAGAAAAAAAAAAAAAAATATATATATATATATATGTGTGTGTGTGTTTTTGTTGCAGTACATAACCTTGTCATTAATAAAAGTAAATATTCCATTAAATAAACTTGTTTGATGGTCATATTTGTTGTTGTTGTTTAGATGTATGAGAGGTAATGTAATACATTTGTTGTATATTCACACTTCTTTATGTTTGTCTTTAGCAATGTTGATGTACTACACTTGTTTTATAGTCATATTTATTTATCAGTTATGAAATAATACACTACTTTATATTATATATTTATATATATTTTTATAAGGAATAATGTATTATTTCCATTATGATATGTAACCTCCACTCCTTTCTAGCTAACCTGATTTAGTGCTGCTATATGCACAATTTGTTGCTCACCATTAGTGCTGAGGATCCCATCTAATCTTGCATGTTTCCACATAATATTTCTGCATTGTTGTGTGCAAATGAGCATGAGAGAACCCTCCAACCAATAAGAGTGTGACACCCCCTCCTAGCTCAGCTGGCTCTCTCTATACTGATTGTTGAATCATTACTTCTCGACTTGGCACTTGTGTTGTCATACATTTTCTTTTATGCTCATTTTATATTTCTCAATGTACATATTTTGTTGTGGAAATATTACTTTGTTTCTTGGTTTTCATGACTTGTGCACCAGCAAACCTTGTGGCTCTTAATTTCCACACCATAAAATTGCAAGTGATAGTAACTTCCACTCTGTCTAGTGTTGAACATCAAGATATGATTCATTCTAGACAGACAGCTCCAATGACATCAGTTTCTTTTTTGTGTGCTGGGGATGTGTCATCTATTGTGCAGCTTGGGCCTGTTTCTGAACTTGACATTCCTTATCCTATGTATTCTGTCTGTGATGATGAAGTTTTGGACAGTCTTTTTGCAACACCTACCTATGCCAACACTTCTTTCAGTGCTGTTGTGGATCTACCTTAACCTTCTATGCCTTTCCTTGACGTGGTTTCTCAGGAATGTTACCTTCTTCCTCTCTCTCTCTTGTTTGTTATGATTCTTCACTTTCCCTTATTCATTCACCACCTCCTTCAGAGTGTTATGTTTCCCCTTTCTCTGATATCCAAGTTTATGCTGAACATTGTTCTTTTAACTTCGTTCTGGTGCCAGCATGCCTTGTTCTCCTCACCTGGTTCAGTCTTATGCCTTGGCTTATAATCAGCCTGAAGTCCATTTCTTGTACTCCCAAACTCTGGAATTTTTTCTTCATGCTTGGGATTCAGATCCTAAATTTTTTATGTCTTTCTCATGCCCAATGTTCACATCTTTACCTTACCTTCACTACCCTTTTGTATTATCTTTCTCCCATCCATCTTCTTTCAGAGGCAATCCACCATTCCTCTGAGGGCTGTTTGGTGGACATTGTTTCCTTTTTTTTATGTTAGCATGTTCTTCTTCCTTAGCCTTGTCCATTCTCTCTTGGCTACTCGGTTGTTGAGATTTATTAGGTATAAATACCCTTCTTGCCCACGTATGTTTACCTTACTCTTATTTCAGGGACTTTTTTCTGGCTCCTTTCCTTTCCTTCACCAATGTTTTTTTTGGTGGGGATACCTTATTCTTTGGAGTCATGGATGGAGGGAGCATGCCAACATTTTTCCTCATCTTCCCTTGTGTCCTGCCTTTCCTAAGCTCCTACTATTTCCACTTTTGTCTCCTGTTCTGTCACATCCTTGCTGCTCCCTGTCCCCCATCACATACCTCTTCTCCCATTCATTCTTCCTCTGTATGTAGGCTTCAGCACCAACAGTCTTGTCGATAACAATTGCCTGGGCTCAGAAACAGTGGGGACACATTTTCTCAATTTTTGGGTCTATGAGTAAGGGAACTTTTGGGTGCTACAAGTTCTATCAGGCCTTACCCTTCATTTTTCTTCTCCTCATCCCTTGTTTCCTGTTCCCATTCCTTTCCCTCCTCCAGATGATACTGTATCTCACCAGCATGACTACAAGGTGGTGTCAGACCTTTTGAACAGAGATGCTATTGAAAGGGTTTCTTACCCTTCTCCAAGATTTTATTCCCGCCTGTTTGTCATTCTCAGGAAAACCGGAGATTGGTGTTTGGTCATAAATCTTTCATGTCTCAATCAGTTTCTTCTCTTTCCTCGGTTTAACATAGAGAGTTTTCTCACCCTGTGGTGGTCGTTTTCTCTAGGGATTTGGGTGACAAAGGTGATCATCTTCAATGCTTATCTTCACATCCCTATCTCCCCAGCATCCAGACTTTACCTTCAGTTTGTACATCAAGATTGGGTTTATTAGTTCTGAGCTCTTTCTTTTGGCCTTTGCTCATCACATTATATGGACAGTTGGCTACTTTTGGCTCCATCCCAACAAGACTCATCCAAGTATACTCTTCTCCTTTTTTTTGGGAGGCAGCTTGTCCAGGTTGGTTTGTCAAGCTGGAGAAGTCACATCTCATACACACCCAGTATCTGGTGTATTTGGGTGTGTTCTTCAATTCCCATCTCAGCAAAGTGCAGCCTTCTCCACATTGTTTATGGGCCATGGAGAATTTGGTTTCCACAGCTCTATCCACTCCTTATCTCTCTGTTGAGAATATAGGCTTCCATGGAACTCCTTGTCCTCTTGGGTTGTGCTCACATGTATCTTTTAAAGTGTGCTTTACACGATGTCACCTGGTAACATGATAGGGCCAATACTGTTGAGGGTGTTTCCTCTTTCTCCATTCCATCCAGATCTTCATCATTTTACAGATGCTTCCATGATAGATTGAAGCAACTGTCTCGACTCTTTTGAGATTTTGGTCAATAGAATATTGAGGAATCAACCCTTCATATCAACCTTTTGGGGTTCTTATTTGTTTGTTTGGCTGTGGGTCATTTTCTTCCAGTTGTTCATGGCTGTTTGATGATGATTCATTTGGATAACTCAGCTGTGTTATTCTACATAAATCGCCAGGGGGGCACTTGCTCTCGCTCTCTGTATTTCTGAATTCTCCACTTCATCTTTTGAGCTCATTCTCTACTAGTCTGTCTTGTGACCTGTTATGTTCTGGGTGCCCTGAATCTTTTTGTTAATTGTCTTTCGAGACCTGACTAAGTATTTCCCATGGAGTGGTCCCATCAATCTTCGTACTTTTTATGGCTTTGCTCTTGCCTGGGAAAGTTGTTTTTATATACCTTTGCCATTTAGAACAGTGCCAAGCTTCCTCTATTCTGGTCTTCTGTTCCACATCCATTAGCACTGGTGGTGGATGTGTTCAGTCGGGACTGGTCTGGTTTCCTCCATTATACTTACCCCCCTCAACATGTTGCCTTGTTTGGGACACTCTTTGTCAGACCCTTCTGGTAGTGCACTGTTGGCTGGCTCAACTGTTGTTTCCTCTGCTGAGTCTTCTGCTTTACTTTTCCTCTTCCACTCTCCTGCTCCCTTCTTCTTCAGTTTTGTACTTCTCTCTTCCATCCAGCCATGTCATCACTCTAGCTTCGTGCATGGAATTTGTCCAGTCCCTTGCACGATATCCAGGACTTGCTTCACGTATAGCCTTCTTCCTGTCTCATTTCGTTTGCCCATCTTACTTAATAGTTTATCAGCAGAAGTATCATATTTACTGCCACTTGTCTCTGCATTGATCATTCTCACCTTCTTACCCTTTCTTAGTTCTTCACATAGCTTTTTGACAAGGGTTGTCTGTCTTGACTATTGCTGGTCACCAGGCAGCTCTTTTGATTATATTCTGGTTTTCCCATTTCCATTGGGTGTTTTTCTCCCCCAGTCCTTACTGTACCCTTTCATTCTTTTCACCTCCATTGCCCTCCCCATTCTTCCATCCTATCTGACTGGGACCTTAATGTTGTTTTCCATGTCCTTACTCTACCTCCATTTGTATCTTTAATTTCCTGTTCCTTATCACATCTGCCCCTTAAAACTTATTTCAATACTATTTGTGCCTGTGATTGTTTGTATTCTGTTGTGTGTGCTGTTAATTCTTCTTACATTGTATTCTATCACTCCCATATTCTTCTCTATCCAGATCACGCTTTTCTCCCTAAAATGACTGCAGTGCATGAGAGTGATAAGGCACGTTTACCCCTATATCTCTCTTTTCCATTTCTCTTCTTTGCTCTTGTTCAGCTCCTGATTGCCTCCTCTGTCCTGTTTGTGTGATCTATTGTTACTTGGCCTGCACTTCTTTCTTTTGCTTTTCCTGATCCCTTCTTTCATTCATTCATTGGAATCCTTCATCCACTTATGACCTTTCTCCTGTTACTCTCTCTGGATGGATCTGAGAGCTTACACATTTAATGTACCCTTTGTTGAATGGAAATGTATATCGATGTTTCCAGGTGTTCTCCCATCAAATTTGTCACCTAACTTACTCATTAGCTGTTAACTTCTGTCATCATTTGTAGGTGATTGTTCAGACTGGCATGGGGATGACCCCTCACACCTTTGTTGCATACTGTGTCCATTTCTTCTTCATCCAACAATAGAATGCCTCTTGTTGCTTTTCTTCACACAGCATACTATCTTTGACTGGGTTAGTCTTTTTTTTCATGCCCTGTTTTTACCGATTCCTGTAGTCCCTTACAGAATCCCTCTCAGTGGCAAGTGTTGTCTGTGAGGGTATACTTAACCAAAATCCACACAGTGTAGGGCCATCCTGGCCTAACATAGCACTCATCCATGAGATGGGGTGTTCCATGAGGCTACTCAATGTATTCTTGTGGTGCTCATTTTCCTAAACAAGGCTCAATCCAGACTGTACCTACTCATGGACTAGTATGAGTAAAGTAGGCAGAGGATTCCTTCCCATCATCAATATCTAGTTTAAAACCTATTTCTGGCCTGCTTTTAAAAATAGGCTTTTCTATTCTACCATTGCACTGTCTTACAGTGATGCACTCTTTCAAACTTCCCATCCCACTTTCATCCTCCCCTTTTTAATTCTGGTGGAGCATATGAGTCAATCCCACTCACCAGTTCCTAGCTGCTTGGGGTGGTGGACCATGGAGGATGCCTCCCAAGTGTGACTTATTTCACTCAATAGAAAGTATGGCAGTAGTGCTCTGCCTGTGTAGTACAGCTCACCCCTCTGACTGGCTTTACCCCATCCTTCCACTATTTGGAAGTTGGGTGGCTAGTGTTGGATAATGCAGGACCAACCAACATAAGTCCTCATTCATGGTAGATATTACTTTCATGTTCTGCTTCACTGGGCTTGTGGTGAAGATGGTTAAGACCCTCCTCTTACTGCAGCCTGGAAGTTGAATTCCCGTTACTGCCTGGTTTTAGGCTGGTGTTATCCTGTCATGTATGATTTGATGTGCTCTAGCTACACTACACATATAGTACTTCCAAATGCTTGATGAAGTTCTGAACTGCATTTGTATTTTCTGCTTGTTCTTGCAACACTTTCCTTCTGTTCTGGGTGAAAGGTGTATTCTGGTATGGTCTTCCATGGGTATGCCCATATGCTGTTCTAAGGTATAGGGTTTTGCACTCTCCATGGGTTCTCCAAGAGTGTTTTCCAAAAGAGGATCATCTAGGTAAAATTTTTCAACAATCCTTCCACCACCTTATCGTGGGATTCTAGCTGGATGTGAGAGGAGGTTACTTAGCAGAAGTTAACATTTTCCAACACTGAAATTGTAGATACTCACCTCCTCCCACACTTCCCACCCATCCTCCTCACTTCTGGTGCATCTTATTTTATTGCTTAATCTCGAAGTGATGATTGAACAATCAGTAGAGAGTGAGCCAGCTGTGCTAGGAGTCAGTATCACACTCCTGTTGATTGGAGGATTGTCACATGCTCATTTGCTTGCAAAAACACAGCAAAATCACATGGAAACACTTGAGATTAGGTGGAAGCCTCAAGGCTAGTAGCAAGCAAATAGTTCCCATATAAAGCTAGATGTGACGATAGGTGAGTATTTTGGGAATAGATTTTCAGTTTTGGAAAATGTTAACATTTATTTCATAGTCACATTCCTCTGATGTTTCCATTTATTATATTGATGTATATTGTGATATAGAACTGATAAGCTTTGATGAATGTCTAAAAATGTATTTAATATTAGCTTAAATCACAAATTTTTACTTGTCTTATGCTGTTCAAAGTATTTGTTGGAGGCTGGTGATTGGATGTTAAACTTTAATAAAATGATTATAAACATATGCATTTCACTACAAAGAATATTTAACTGGTTGAATGCTTAGTAATATATGAAGGAATTCTGTTTAAATAAATGATGATACTTTGCACTGATAGTACAATAAACATAACTCTTTACTGTGTTGTTCACTCTTATCATGTGTGATAATGTATTTGAGGATTCTAGATATATTTGTTGCTTGTTAATTTACTTGAGTAACACAAAATGAGGAATATGTGCTCCTCAGTAATAAAAGTATATATTATAAACTTAATTCATTCTGCTGATACTAACTTATAGCTGCTGTAAAAAAAAAGAAATTGTTCTAGGATTATGATTGCCTGTGCAAATAAATTAGTATAATATGCATACAAGTATGTCTTATAAATATAATAAACTAATCTATTGTTATTATCTATTAATTATTAAGTTATTTTAACACAAAGCTACACATTGGGCTATCTGCTCCCTGTTCACATTGGGGAATAAACCCCCGGATTTTAGCATTGTAAGTCACTAAACTTACTTCTAATCCACCAGGGGGACATAAACCAATCTAGGAATGATTAGTATGTGAGCCAGAAGCCAGCATCATTGCATTTTAGGAATATTAGCATCTTAAGAAAAAGCTGCTTCTGAAACTGTTTTTTTAACAATCATATTCTTAACCTATAGTAGGCTTGTCTTTAATCATGTCTGGAACAAGTAGAAACAGCAAAAATGATTTTATTCCTTTTTGAATAATTTTTATGAATAAAAATATTGCCAGGTTAATATAAAGCTTTATTCTTACATTCTGATAGTGCTTTACATAAGCTATTTAGATATCAAAAATATATAATATTTCATTCATTAAACTATATTCTATTAGATAAAGTAAAGGGATGATTATTACATCTGTAAGGAGTGTGTTTATTTATATAGATTGATTGAACACCCAAAAAATTAAAGTAAAAATATCTTCTAAGAGGGGAAGAGAGTGAAAAGACAGAAAAGTGAAATACAATAAAAAAAAAGACATACCATAAATAGTAATGTTGATTACATGAGAAGGCAACTAAATACAGAGGCCATCTGACATCTTAACTGATTCCATATCATGCAAACAATTTACACAAGGTTCTGACACCTGAAGATGGGCAGCAAAAGTCTTTTACAGCATTTCTGTCATGTGCTTTAGTGTTCTGATCTACAACCCAATATATTATTTTCAGGACAACATGACCATGCTTACGAGGTACCATCTTAACACAGTCTGTATCCTGCTTATGCCTTACTTTCTGTAAAAACACAGCTTAAATCTTCCATAGAAAGAAGATTGTAGCTTATTTGATATATTGTTATGGGTTGCAAAAGAAAAAGATAGCTTGAAGAAAAATTGAATTAAGAGTTTTGAGGAGCTTGTAGAGATTTGTTTATGAAGATTATTTAAGAGAATATATATATTGTGTTAGAATAACATTTACTTTCAATTGTAATGCAAAACATCATTACTGGCATAACTGTTCCAAGGATAACACTCATTTCAGCTCACAATCGTTACTATTCCAAAAAGGAAATTACTTTTAAAATTGGAAACAGTACTCTTAAAACAACCCTTTTAGTTTTTCTGTTTTGTGAATAATAAATACCTCAAACTTTGAACAATACATCTTTAAAGCTTTTTGATCATCACTGGTCATTCTGAGAGAAACACTTTTGTCTCAAACATTTTGTTAACGTAAGTGCTGTGTTTTTGAAAATACACACTGTATTTATTATCAAAGTTATTTGAACATCACATCTTGAGAAGTAGTGTCTTACAATTGGCACTTATGGCTCATTTTAATAAGGAATGAGCTCATCTTCGATATTAATAACAGATTAACAGTTACCTACAAACATTAGTATGCATCTGATGCAATAAACACTACCATTCTTGCAAATCAGCTTCAAGATTTGTGAGCTTTTTAAATCCTGTTCATTGTGCTTTTAGGCCTGATTCCAAAATGGCCTAGATTGGTTCATTTGGATTCAAGTTGAAGGTTGATCAAAGCAGATCCTGATTTTTATGTCTTAATCCACTACTGAACAGGCATCTGAAGAAAACATTAAATATCATTATTCATTACTCTACCTTTATCCTTATCCTGGTTTTTCACTTATGTCACCTTCTGAATGATGGCATGATGAGTGGTATATAGGCTATAGCCATAGGTCAAATCCCATCCCATGCTAAGACAGTATCTAAAGACCAGTATCTAATCTTAGACTCCTCGATGCAAGCAGATGAAAAAATGTTTTCTACAATCCTCTTTAATTCCCCAGTTATCAGTTTAATTATTGCTTTAAAATTTAAATTCTATAGTGGATTGAGTTTATTGGTCAATTGTATATTGAAATGTATTTTTCTTCTTTTTTTAGGAACTATTATCTTTATTTGTGGAGGATTTGCTACTAATGTAGATGGTGGACTGTCAGAAGTTTTGATCAAGGGTTTTGACATAAACAAGTGGAACTCTTGTAGACCCTTACCATTTCCTTGTTCAGGCATAGCTGTGGTAACAATTCCAAAATTACAGAGAAAATTAGTAGAAATGAAAAAAAACAATTGAAATAACTCATGCCCATTAACAAATAAATTATTTTCAGAAAATTTAAATAAAGTAAAGAAAATAAATGAATATGTTGGAATTATTTGTGAAGGAATTACTGTTTCATTTTAAAAAAAAACAATTTGGGAATAAAATATTTTTATTCATCAAATATTGATCAAATCAATTATTTTTGCATATAAAATATATTTATATAGTTACAGCTTTTATTAGAAAATTTATTTTATTCAGTGTATTGAATATGTTTCCCTAGTTATGTAGGGATATAATGCTATGATGTAATACTTTAGGTACACTGTTTTCTTTGTTTCATGTTGGTCAAGTTACATTTATTTTCTGTTTCACATATAATGAATAGCATCTCTAGACATTTTTCATTCCAAATTATCATATTTTGTAAAGTTTTGATACATCTTTGACTTTTACAATTTTGCTTTCTCTAAATGTGAGACTATACCAAAACTTAGTTTTTAAGATCAATCCCAGAAGATTTAATATATTACATGTAAAATATAAAACTTTTTTTATCGATAACTTAGGTTTTCATTGTGTTCTCCTATTTTCATTTCTTCTTCATTTAAAATCAACTGAGAATTGGACACATATGATATTCATTTGGAACTGAATGTTTTATTATTTTATTATACATAAATTTCACATTAGCATTTGCAAATTATATGTTTTATTTTTATCCATTAAATCAAAGCAACTAATTCAAACATAATGGGTAAAACGTTATACTAAACTTATTGTCAAAACACATTGTAGTAAAATGTCTTCAGGGAAGTCTATTCTGTATACTGATTGTAAAAAATATTAATTTAAAATAAAGTAAATTAAGAAGTTATGACTGGCTAGGTTTATTTCACCATTTGAGAGAAGGCACTGTTATAGATAGGCCAAAAATACTGTTATATCGGGATCTTATTCTTATCTACTAAAATTTTGATTTTTTGAGCATAAAAAGAGTCTTAATTATTGATTCATATAATATTTTTATGAAATTTCAAAACAAGTAATACTGTGAACCATAAAACATATTGGCCAATATTAGTCAAGAAATACTTCATTAGATATCCAGCTAAGATCTACAGTTTCTCCAACATCAGTTCTTTATCATCCATCAATGTCAGTCGTAGAGTACATACTACCATTCAGTGAAGTTGTGTGTGTCTTATGATGATAACTTTATGACTGAACATTTATAGATGCTTCTTGGTGCCTCATTGATAAGCTTGGTAGCCCATAATGCTAAAATTTGGGGTTTGATTCCATATGGTGGACACAAGGCTTAAACAAAAAAAAAATATATATATATGTAGACTTGGCTGAAAACTGCAAAACATTTAATAATGAATGAATGTCAAGAGTTTTACCGAATGGCTTCTGTCAGTTTACACTGTATATATATGTATATAATTTACTTTTCAGATTATGCTGTGGAATGTATAATATAAAGATAGCAATTATACAAAAGTGAGAAAATTTTGAACTGTTAAACATAGTACTCTGCAATAAATATTATTGAATTTAAGTTTATAGATGATGGCAAAGTTTTCCTGAAAATGTATTAGTAAATCACACTGTCAGGATGGTTATGGAAAAAAAAGATTTATAATCCATTTCATTAAGATCACTGCCTCTGTTTTAACTTAATGTATGAAAAAGCAAACACCTTTGGTTACTGTACATGTATACATATATATGTATATAGAAATATAGTTTAATTTGTTAACTGTAGTTCCTTTTCATGTTAACATACCTTGTTTTTGTTTTCAGGTTGTTTTTTAGTTTGACATTTTTTTTCAGTCCCTTTTTTTTTATTCCCAGATCGTTCATGGTCAAATATGACTTCTGCAGCTCATGTCATAAATTATGCTACTCTAACTTCTACTTCAAATGTCATGTATGAGGGTCTCGGCTGAGGATGTCTTGGCTTTCATTCTTTGGGAAATTGAACTTTACATGGTTATTCCTTTTCTCCCAACCCTAACCAGGTTCTTCCAGTGCCAGTGATATGTGGTTTATCAAGGAATGTGGAAGGTCATTCCACCATGGAGTTTCTTTTTCTCAGCCCACTGTCCCACTTCAGGTGGATTTCTTCACCAGGCTGTTCAAAAATGATGCTTCTGTTTCATTAATTATGAGTTATCATGTAGCCTCTTCAAATACCTTCCATGTTTTCAGGTGCCATTCTGTGTTTTCATCTCCTACCATTTCCCTGTTATTGCATTCCTTCTGTATTAGTCAACCTCCTCATCTGGATTGAGATGTCCCTATGATTCTGCACTCCCTTACTCTTCCTTTGTTTGAGCCTCTGGCCTCCTGTTTCATGTATCACGTATCCCTTCAGATATATTTCCTTCTCCTCCTCCTCATCTGTGGGCACCTTCAGCCTGAGATTTTTGCCATCAACATTTCCTCTACTCTTTTTTTCATGCCACATCTGTTCTCCTTTGTCTGGATCAATCATTCCTGCCCGAAACATCAGTGGCTTGAGAAGGGAGTTCTTCATTTTCACTGTTTTCCCTACTCTCCATTTCCCACTTCTATTACTGATCAGATCTACATATACTTCTAAAACCTGTTTGTGCTCTTCATTGTTATATTGCCTGTATGGCTTCCTTCTGGATCAGTCATTCCTGTCAGAAGCATCAGTGGCTTGAGAGGGGAGTTCTTTATTTCCACCAGCTTCCCTTCCCTCCATTTCTCGCTTTTATCACTAGTCAGATTTGCATAGCCTTCTATAACTTGTTTGTGCTCTTCATTGTTGTTAGGTCTTCAAGAAATTAATGTCACTTTTCGAACACTTTCATTAACTACTCCCCAAAAAATGTACATCACATATAATAGTTAAATGAACCAATTAAACGTCACATTAGTGTAGCCTATAAAATGTGTAAAGTTTAGTATATTCTAATTCATTATAGTGATGGCACATGATGAAACACACATTTGGCATATAATGCTTTTTGAATACAAGAAGGGAAACAACACCTCTGTAGCCACAAAGAATATCAAAAAAGTTTATGGAAATATTTTGAACATTTGTAGGTGTCAACGATGGTTCAACAAATTTTGTTCAGATGACTTTATCCTTAGAAACTGTGATGGCAGGGGCCAACATGTTGGAATTGACATTGATGCTCTGAAGACGCTTGTTGAGTCTTACCCAAGGCAACAAACTTGTGAAATGGCCTTGAAGTTGCATGTCTCTCATAAAACAATAAGTAAGCATCTAAGGAATATGCGGAAACTCCATAAAGATGGTGTGTGGGTGCCTCACAAACTCTCCAATGATCATAATTTCCAATATGTGAACATTGCTTCATCTCTTCTGGTGCATGATGCGTGTAAACCATTTTTGGACAGAATTGTCACCAGTGATGAAAAATGGATTCTCTATGTGAATATTAAATGCCAAAAACAATGGCTCAGTCCTAGACAACAACCACTTCTGACCCCAAAACCTGGACTGCATCCACAGAAAGTGATGCTTTGCATTTGGTGGGACATCAAAGGGGTAATTCATTTTGAACTCCTCAATCTACAGCAAACTGTCAATGCAAAGATCTATAGTCAGCAACTGGAACATTTAAATCAAACCCTTCATCATAAATGCCCTTCACTTATCAATCGGAAAGGTATTCTTCTTCTCCAGGACAATGCACATCCACAGGTGGCACGTTTGATACAACAAAAGATTATGGAGTTGAGTTGGTAAGTTCTCTCCCACCCACAATATTCTACAGATATGGCACCAACAAATTATCATCTTTTTCATTCTCTGCAACACCATCTTTATGGGAAAATTTATGCAAATGTTGAAGGTGTTAAAGACCACACCGACATGTTTTTTTTATTCAAAGCCAAGTGATTTATTTAATCAGGGCATTAACAACCTGATTGTAAGATGGAAAAGCATCATTGATAAGAAACTATTTCATTTAATAAATGTTTTGTTTTATCAGTTGAACAGGTTTTTTCATCTAAAAAAGTGACATTAATTTCTTAACAATTTAATATATTGCCTGCATGGCTTCCTTCTGTAGCTCCAAATCATACCTCTTCATACACTGGAAACTTTCCTCACAGATGTTTCCTCTTCTACCCTGACAAGCTGGTTTTGTCAAATTATCAGTCTGACATATTTCTTCCAGATTTCTTTTCCAAGTCGTCCTTTGGAAGAGGTTCCTCAGTAAGGTATTGGTAAGTTTGTTTTCCCCTTTTTTTTTTCAGAGTCTTCTGCTTATTAGGTCACAGATCTCACTCAATGGCGAGTGTTTCTTGTCTAGGTATTCTGCTTATTTATACATCACAAAATTCCACACTGTATGGCCAACCATATGTCATACAGGGGTATATTGTCAATTGCCTAGTGATTCACTCTACCTCTGTGTGGTGGGTCCCAGAGGTTGATGTTGCATGGTCTCAGCTCTGCTCGCCCTGCAGACTGTGGTTGCTTGGGATGTCAGCTTCTGTGTAGTCCTGTTCATAGGATAATATTGCATGGGTTACACCTTGCTACTCCATGCACTCCATTCAGTAGAGAGTAGAGCAATGGTGTTTTGCTAGTGTAGATCCTCTATATGAATCACAGTCATATAATAAAAGAGACAGAGTAGACCTGCCACATTGCAGTTCATCCCTTCAGTTGGGATCCCTCATCATACAATTGGCTGAATGTCAGATGTAAGTAAATGGTTTTTGATTTTGAGCAGGACCAGTCAACATAAGTTTCAAATATAAAACAATAAAAAAATTTTTCTTTTTAAATTGTTTTCTTTAGTGAAAATCTCATGAGTGTACAACAGATAAGCAAGGCACTTTCATTGATAACTGCGTCTACAAAGAAATACTTCAGTAAAATCTACTCTGTGATTTCATGGTGTGATGATAACTCATTTTTAAACTAAAATTTCAATAAAATCCTTTTTCTCATGGAT